AACAAAAAGTGAAAAACTTTTCTTTGTTTTTTCGTGAAAATTTGAATTCTCTTATCTGTTTATCAATGATGCATAGTAGGAAAAGCTAATAAAATGGAGATTCTTAAATAGGGCTACATACTATGAGAAATGCAACAGTTACATGAAAGGTTAAATTGGCCTAGGTAGAAAAATCTGCGTATCTTTTAGGCCAGTGCTCACTCTGACCAATGTTTGTAAAGGCATTTTTCTTGTGTCACCAAATGCAGCATCAGGAGGTTTAAAAGGCTTCGTAGTAATTAGGTCTGGGTTGAGGTCCTGCTTGGAGGAGTTTCTGTTGTTGATGACGCAGAGGCTGATGATTTACCCTCAATGCAAGCTGCTTTCGTCGATCAGCACTGATGGTATCCTGGCGTCCTGTTTGGTCAGTGGAGGAAAACTTTCTTTCCTATTGATGACTTTAAAAGGTCCATCGTAAGGGGTTTTCAAGGGTCTGTGCCCAGTGTCACAACGCAAGAAAACAAAGGTGAATTCTTGAAGTCCGACATCTAACTTCATCTTCATGTTTTCAGCACGTGTTGAGGTTGGTTGCAGTCGATATATAAAACGTATTAGACGCTGAGAATAACTATAAACATAAAAATAACTTGGTTTGGCGCCTTCTGAAGAAACTCGTTTACCAGACAAATGAGTGTGGTTCCGTGGATCAGTTCTGCTAACAGGTACTGTATATGCAATTTAAGGGGGTAACGCATGAGTAGAAGGGTTAGAGAAAGAGAATGTATCTATTCAACGTTGTCGGCGGCCATTAGAGTAGCTTTAAGCCGCCGATGAAAAAGCTGCAATAATCCACTAGATACCTAGTGTTGTACTGCAGTTTGAATGCGTTTGCATCCCAACAGTTCCAAAGGTTTATAATGACTACAGTTTCGAATTGTTGCCCATAATCTGTTGTTACTGTCGAAGGGCATCTGAATATTGCGGCCCATGGTCCCATGAATACTCGACGAATTGTTTTAACCGCCATGTCAGCGATAAGGGTGGCCCCTGACCAATGAGTAAACTGATCTACAGGTGTGAGTAATTATGAGTGGCCGTGAGATACATGAGATATACATGAGATATCTGTTTGAATATGGCTAAGGGTGCATCATGTGTACAAATGATCCTACCAGAGTGACATCGTGTTGATGAATTTTGGAGCTTAGACACTGTATGCGAGAACGCGTCCAGTTGTGCCAATCTCAGTTAGTGCATGGTCAGACTAAACCAGCCGATATCAGCTTGTCAGTAGCACTGTGGTGAGAGATGGTCGCTAGCCAAATTGGTTGACAGTAATTGAGGTCAAAGGTCAAGATGGACAGGCGGATATAGTATATCGTAGCGGTACGTCCAACGTTTGCGTTACATTTTTGCGTGATTCGTTACATAAAATTTATCTTGTTGTAATCCTTGCACAAGTACTCTACTACTTCCATACTTATAACTATTAACTCTCATATCAAATAGTTATGGTTAACCAAAGTAAAAGGCAGCGAACTCAATCCCCTGTAAAACTGATGACTAATTTTAAGTCGTTGATTGCTACATCAAGCAACATACTTCCTACAAATGGTTATAGTGAGCCAAAAAACTCACTTGTATGTCGTAAGCGTCGAGCTGAAACTGAGGATAAAACTATACTGACAGCTAGTATTAGCACTACTCCCAAAAATTCAGTACCCTCTGCTCATACAGAAACCCTCCCTACACCTTATGTGCTTATTGAAAAGCTCCAGCCTTCAAGCTCTGTTTCAATACTATCTTCAGAAATAGAACTTCTAAAGTTGTCTATAGGAGAACTTAAGGCCGAGTTAAGGGACTTAAAAAACAATAAGTCAGTAGATCCTGGAATTTCCGATACCAATACCAAAATCTCCAATTTATCAGGTCAGATCAGTGATATCAGACTGCAGGTCTGTGAACTGACACCTTTAACTATTCTCATGAAAACTGTAGACCTTAACAAACTTGACAGTGAATCGATATCTAAGGTGGATAACCTAATTAACTTTGTCACTACAGAAGTAACAAAACGACTCGATGCTAAACTAAATGCTATTGTCTACAACGTTCCGGATAATGAGGCACTAAAAAAGGTACAGCGCATCCTACTTAGTGAGGCGAAAATGCCCAACTCCAAGACTAAGTGCTACAGGCTGAAGAAGAGTCAACATGACAAGTGTTGTCCTATTCGTTTTCAGTTCCAAACACCGGCTGAGGCCAGAAAATTTACCCACTCCCAACACACCCTATCGCAAACCAGAAATTACAAACTAATAAAGGTTGCGGTGGACAAGACCGTCATAGAAAGGCGCGTATATAATTATCACACTGAGTCTAATTGTGGAATAAACAATAGGACATTGCAAGCAGCAATTATACCCAACCCTTTGAGAGACACCGTAGAATCCACCGCACCACCCCTCTCTAACCACACAGAATTATCTTCTCAGAGAGCGACACCAACCGAAAGTCCGCTAAATTGTAATCAAATAGCCAATAAAACCATACCACCTACCACCGTAGATTTAGACATGTCACTAAATAATCCAAGAAAAAAAGTCAAAACCCCCCGAAAGTTGACCCTGTCCTCTCCTAGCCATAAGTCCATTGGTAAAAAAGAGAAGAACATGACCCAAAATCATGCCAACAACAACAATGGCAGTATAAGTAAGCCCACATTCCCCACGGTCAATAGTATCGGCACCCAAAACGTGCGAAATAACCAACGCCAAAACAATGCCACCCTCAAGAGTACAAGTGACAATAGTCAGAACTCGACCACCAACAACTCAGGACATTCACAGTATGGCACGCTAATAAATTTTGATCGGATATACGGTACAAGTCTGCTGGGAACTAACCCACAAAGCAGTGCATTCGAAACCCTTACAAGGACACCACTAGTACCTAACAATAGGTGGAATAATAGACCATGGTCTTCACAAGGTCCCAATCATTTTTTATCCCCTGCGTCCCTGTCAGCGTTGAAAAAACAGCTGGTAGGGATGTTAACACTCCTAAACCGCTAGTGCTGGCTCCCCCTTTGCATGAATGTAGGAACAGTCTAGTTCGCCCGCATCCACTAAGCACACTTGGTACATGCACAAGTTTAGGTCAAATAAAGATCCCTACCCCCGTTTCTAGCTTAACTAAAAATAAAAGTGCCTTAGCCTGTAGAAAATCCAGTACTCCAACGCTCAATTCTTCACCGAAAACAGCACACACCAACTCGATAGACATAGGTGAACATGATGCTGAAACTCCTCTTAACATAGGGTCGTCATGTCAAACAGTACTACTGGGTGCTGAACCACATTCGGGGCTGATTAACGAACTTAAGTACTTCAAATGCTATTTCAAATCTCATCTTTACCTAATCCTCATAAATGCTAGATCCGTTCTAAATAAACTACCGATGCTCAGAGCACTCACAGTAATATACAAACCCCCTATAATTGTCATCACTGAATCCTGGTGTAACTCGAACATACTGGATGAAGAGATAAGCTTAGATAACTATACACACTTTCGGTGTGACAGGGAAGGTGGTAAGGGAGGGGGTTGTCTTATGTACTTTCTGAATGCACTTACTGTATCACAGCTAGAAAGTAGTACACTTAACATGCCTGAGACTTTATGGGTTAACTTACACTTAAATAACGCAATAGTATTAATTGGATGCACCTATAGAGCACCTGGCACCTTTAGTAATTACGAGACCCAACTTATTAATACTCTAGAACAATTATCCACCCTCCACTACGATCATAAGATCCTATGTGGAGACTTTAACTTACCAGAAATCAACTGGGAAATACCCACAGGTCCAACTAAACTTGATAAGTTCTTAGGCACACTGGATATACTTGGCTGGAAGCAGACTGTCACAACCCCTACAAGAGGTAATAACGTACTAGACTTAATCTTCTGCCACAATATAAGTCCCCTTTCTACCCTAGTAGGTTCTGAGTTTTCAGGGAGTGACCACAAAACAGTGCTGTGTGCACTGCCACTTCCGTCAAGTAGCAATGCAACCCATACCCCTACTTCACAACAAATAACCTACAGGAACTACAGTAAGGCAGACTGGACTCTAGTAAAGTCAATGCTAAGATCCTCAGAATGGAGTGAGTACTTCTATACTGATAGCCTCTCGAAAGCTCTAGACATCTTTTACTATAACTCCAACACATGCTTAGATGCTGTCATCCCATTTCAAACACTAAAGTTTTCCCCACATAGAAAGACATTCATAAAGCCAAAGGATCGCAGGAAACTGAAAAGACTGTCAACAAGTTACTTCAGGCAACACGACTTTAGTATAATATATATATTTCCTATCAATGTAGGACACACCAGTTGTACAGGCATGGATAAGTATTATTTAAATTACATGAATTTGATTTATAGTGAAATTACATGGTTGCTGTCCTCTCTGATATCAGTTAGTGAGCACATTCTGATAGTTAGTCGTTCAATGGAGCACATAAAGAAATATAGAAATATTGTCTTCGCATTAACAAAAAAAACCCAAGTACGTGTCGGATAAATTACAAATATTTGGGAAAAAAATAAAGCTTGAAGTCAATTCCTCCATATAACTTTGTTGTGTGCGGCATCGTATCTTGTTTTATGTTCAAATTGTGTATTAATTTAAAATGAGTGATTTATTTTTATGATTTTGACATCACTTAAATTGCAAGTAATACCAGATGTGAATTCAACTGAATGTAGATTAATATTGGTCATTGTCAAGCAGATTTGTTTTACTGCACTCAAGTCACCCATAGCCCGCCATTTGTCACAGCATGGTTGCTCCGTACGAGTAAGTTGATAAACGCGTAGAAAGCTACATAAAAACCATTTTAGATCGTTGACAGTGCTTGTATAAGATGCTGTACAGCGTCTTGTTATGGTGACAGTGGATTTCATCAAGGATGCTGAGCCATTACTAGCCAAACCTTGAGGGATGATATATGAGTAAGTGACTTCAATTGTTTCTCAGCTTCATTCGGAATGTAGATCAATGCAACTTGTACTACAAAGTAAATACAACAGAAATGTACCAGAAGACAAAGAAAAAGTATGTGGTGACAAAAATATTTGTTTATATTCGTTGTACATTGTAATTTGATGAACAAAAATTTGTTTCTACTATGTCTTTTTATGCATTTATGCTACTAGTTTATTTATAGTCTTTAGGGAAGTAAGGGTATTTAAGCGCGTTTAGGTACTGTAGTAGACTAATAGTTGATTCGTTCTAGGAATAAGTAGTTTATTTATATAGTCGGTAGAGTGAAATAGTCTTTTTATGCATTTATGCTACTAGTTTATTTATAGTCTTTAGGGAAGTAAGGGTATTTAAGCGCGTTTAGGTACTGTAGTAGACTAATAGTTGATTCGTTCTAGGAATAAATAGTTTATTTATATAGTCAGTAGAGTGAAATAGTGTGTACAGAGAGCGTTTGAAACTTAAAACTGTATTGCAGTTCCTGATATCTAGGGGCAAATTGTTCCATATTTTAGAATACATGACTGTGAAGAAGTTTTCGCGGAGTGTTGACTTAAAGGCTTTTATTGTCACTGTGCAATTTTGGTTACGCAGATCGTAAGAGCCTTCTTGCGCGAATTGTATGTCCTTAATGTCTGAGAATGATATTTTGTGTAGGACCTTATAGAAGAATACTAGGTTTATAATTAGTCGTCTTGTCCAGAGTGGGTCAAGTTGTAGAATCTTGCAACGTGAGATGTAGTCTTTCTTACATTCGTAGCCTAGTAGTTTCGAGGTAAAATATCGTTGGATACTTTCAATTCTTAGCTTTTCACGTGTGTGAGTGCTGCTAATAATAAATGGACAGTATTCTAGTAGTGGCCTCACACAGGTTTTGTACAGAATGAGCTTTGCTTCATTGTCGTGAAAGTTCAAGTCGTGAAAGTACACTAGGGTCAATACTTAGTACTCTTAGCTCCATCTCGCAAGCTCATAACTTGCGTATGAGAAATGAAGAATGCACGGCACTAGCCAGCACCACCAGAGTAGGTGCTCTCACAGAAATACTAAAGAAACGAATGAATCGCCAAAGCCATAAAATTTCTCTCCTTATAAACAAGGGCAAACTATACAGCAACCATGCAGACATGTGTGAACTGTTTAATGAGACGTTTGCAGCTAACTACCTAAAGCCTACAAGTCCACTTCTCGGTTTACAATCTAAAATAGAACTCCCTTCATCTTCAACGCTGAAACAAATCACTACAGTTCATTTCACTTACTCTAATATTAACCAAGCCGTTAATACTCTTAAAAGCTCTAGTAGTGCCGGTTTTGACGGTATACCATCGTATCTTTATAAACACGGTGGTTCTGACATTTCCGTTTTATTGCTTAAGATTTTTACAATGTCCCTAGAAAGCCAAACCTATCCAGATAAATGGAAAACGACATTTATAGTACCTAAACACAAATCCGGATCAAAAACTGAGGTCAACAACTATAGGCCAATCAATATTACACCCATAGTATCTAGAATCATTGAACGAATAGTTAAAGATGATATCCTCAAACATATGCTCAGCTGCAATATTCTAAGTCCAAACCAACATGGATTCCTAAAATCCAGATCATGCATGACATGTCACCTTGACTTCTTTAACTATATAACTAGCAGCCGAGACAAACAACAACTAGTACTAGTCATCTACTTCGACATATCCAAAGCTTTTGACCGCGTTGACCATTTGCTTCTAATAAATAAGCTAAACTCTTTAGGAATAAGTAACCCATTATTAGGATGGATTGAATCATTCCTTAACAATAGGTCCCAAGTAGTTAGACTGGGTTCTGTAAACTCTAAACCTAGTCCAGTCACTTCTGGAGTAGTTCAAGGTAGCGTCTTAGGCCCCCTCCTATTCACTCTATATGTCAACGACATATGCAGCTGTTTCTCACTTGGCAAACCATTCATCTTTGCAGATGATCTTAAAGTAGCTTACACATTCCACTGTGATGACTTAGGATACTTTCAGAAAGCTGTTCAGGAAGAACTAGATCGAGTAATTGCATGGTCCTCCACATGGAACCTAAAATTCAACCTTAAAAAATGTGGTTGGATCTGTTTCGGTGCACCCTCAATAAACATTAAACTGGTACTTGAATCTCTTGACTTGCCTAAACTCCAAAGTGTTGTTGACCTAGGACTCAGGTACTCTAGTGACTTGACATTTTCCGAGCAAGTGGCGACACAGACGCGTAAATCGAGGATGCTCCTAGGATGCATACTCAGAAATTTCCACAACTACGAGGCGAAGCTATTATTATATAAAACTTGTGTCAGACCACTACTTGAATATTGTCCATTCATTCTCAGCAGCACTCGCGTAAGTGACAAACTTAAAATAGAAAGTGTCCAACGATACTTCACGTCTAAACTACTAGGATTTGACTGCGAAAAGGACTACACATCAAGGTGTATAACTCTAGGTATCGACCCACTCTGGATGAGACGACTGAGCATTAACCTAACATTCTTCTTTAAAGTCTTGCATAAAATATCATTCTCAGACAGCAAGGAGATACAGTTCTCACCTGAAGGCTCTTACAACCTTCGTAACCAAACGTGCACAGTATCTAGGAAAAACTGTAAAACAGCACACCGTGCAAACTTCTTCACAGTCATATACTCTAAGATCTGGAACAGTTTACCCCTAGAAATAAGGACCTGTCACTCTATTACAACCTTCAAACGCTTGCTATATAAACTGCTTCATCCCAATGACTATGCCAATCACACCGCACCACTTATTTCCAAAACGCATGAGCTATTAGAACACTATAACGCCTAGACTCATTACTAAATATTACGACACTAAATAAACTCTAAGACTTCGCAAAATCACATGAAAAACAACTAGATTATGGGTAGTGTTTACTATACAATGATATACATTTATAAACATTTATATATACATAAAATATTAATGTTTTCTTCATTTTGACATACTTTATCTCCCTGCTGAGCTAAATCTTCTATATACCTCCTGGTTGAGGTCGAACAACCCAACATCCAAACTGAAATGACCATTTATGTAAATTCAAACTCAAATTCCATGAACGATCCGATGCAACCACTTGAAAACGCTGGCTAACATTCTGTACAAGGAGTATTCTTGATCTGAAATAAAGAAGCAACTGGTTTTCAAACAGTTATCAATGTATTACTCATCTTACATGTACAGTCTGCCATGCTGACGCAAATGGCGCAAATGGATAGTTCTAGAATTGACCTCATTTGATGCAGTAAAACAATCTAACATTACCTTATCTAATTTTCGTATCAAAGATCAAATTTCTTTCCTATCATAAAACTACGATATGACTGCTGACAAAAATGGAATAAATACATTATTGAATCAAAATAATACATCAATAAACTTTATTTCACGGATGCTGTTCACAACAAAGTTTTATAGGAGAATTGACTTCAAGCTTTATTTTTCCCAGATATTTGTATTACATTCATCTGAAGTCTGGGTTTTTTGTTAATGCGAAGAAAATATTTCTATATCTCTTTATGTGTTACACAGACAGACTATTTTGCAGACTGTTCTGACTGACTCTAATGTTAGATTGAACAAACAAACTGTAATTTATATAATAACTTATCCATGCCTGTACAATTGGTATGTTCCTGCATAAACAGGAATAAATATATATATATAGATGACCTGACACAGCCACAAGAGATGCAAGGTTAACTTTGTGTGAGAAACAATCAATCAACAGACTGTATTTTCTACTAACATTAACCTACAATAATGTACATCAAAATCCATAAATACGTGTTGATTTTCCGTAATAAAGGTTCTGTTGCCTGGCCTTGTCTTCTGTTGTTACAGCACGTATCCCAGGGTGTGAAGGGTTGTGTAAACACTCAACAACTACTCGGTATAAAGACTGAGTGGCAACAGGTCTTGGGGCACCTGTGAACATTCACAAATAATGGTATCTGCAATATTAGGAGAAGGCACAGGCTTTATCTGCAGGAAAGTGTTGTGATAGAGTTTATCTACATCCAAGTCTGATAAAAGAACTTCTGCCGTTTTCGGTAAGTCAGTGGTACAGATTCGCGACAATGCATCTACTACCGGGTTATTTGTTCCAGAAACATGTTGGGTTTGCGACGTGAATTGTGAAATGTAGCCTAAGTGACGCAATTCCCGTGGATATTACTTATCTGTGGCATTCTGAAGAGCCAAAGCCTGAGGTCTGTGGTCAGCAATAACAGCAAACTGACTGCTTCAACAAAGTGACAAAAGTATTTGATGGAAGCATAGATGGCAAGAGGCTCGCAACCAAAAGTACTTCACATGTAGACAGCTTTCGAGAAAAGGAAGCTAAAAGGGTCCAACTGTTATTCATGAGCTGTTGTAGGACAGCTTTTAACAGCCGTGTCGGACTTAACGGCCGAAATGCCTAGGAGGAAATTAATATCCAGATCCATTAACACAATGACGTCTGCAATGGCCACCTCAATTTGCTTAGATGCTTCCATTGTGTCAGCAGTAAACATCAGTGTTTTACACTTACCCTTCGGAAGATTAGTTAGTGCCATCAGAATGTCAGCAGTAATTAACCATGCCGAGAAATGCGAGCACTGTTTTCAGCGATGTTAGCACCGGGAAGTTTTGGATTGCTTGAACCTTTTCAGAAAAAGGTGGAATCCCATGTTTATCGAAAATATGTCCGAGGGAAGTCAATGATTGAATGGTAGTCTGTCATTTGGCTAGATTGACTGTCACCGAATGTTTTGAAAGTCTGGAGAACTTGTTGTAGGTGAGCACAATAAGCCTCATCGTCTAGACAAGCTATCAGAGTATCGTCTGGACAGACATCGACGAAGTCGAGTCCACGCAAGACATCGTCAATGGACGGCTGAAATGTCTGAGTGGAGTTGTGTAGACCGACAGACATGTGAAGGAACTCAAGAAGACCGAAAGGGATAATGAGTGCTCTCCCTGGAACATCATAAGCATAAACAGGGATCTGGTGATAAGTACGTGTCAGATCCAAATTGCCGAAAACCTCTGGGCCTCTTAAAGATGGCATCAAGTCGTGTATATATGGGTCTGGGCAACGATCGGGGACTATTTAAGCACTGAGACTCCGGTAATCACCTCAAGGCCTCCAGTCCAGACCACTTTTTTAGGCACCACATGTAAAGGTGAAGACTGCGAGCTGCTTGATGTTCTGATTATCCCAAATTTGGGCGTGTTCAAATGCAGCTTTAACAGCTTGCGATTCTGCCTGGGACAACTGGCGTAGCTTGGCGAAAACAGGTGGACCAGTGGCTATAATATGATAAGTAATATCAGATATCGCACCAGAAACACCACTATTAGGTTTGAAGGCGTCAGCACGGACTTGGAGTGTGAGGGATTGAATACTCCGGGCTGATAGAGGGTTTATGATTGACAACACCGAAGACGGGGAGTCGTGTGGTAGGATCAATCGACTTACGCTTGCTAGCTTGCTAGCTAACCGATGTTGCTGCCAGAGATCCATACCAGTAGTGCCACCAGTCACAGTGACCATAACGAAAACAACGGTGAAGTGCAAGATTAAGGTCTGAGAATCTTCTGTTATAAGTTGTCATAGGCGAACCATTGGCAAAGCGTAATTGTGGAGAGGGTGGGCACAGAAGCTCTTCTGTTGTAGGTAGGATGACACTAGCTTCTACCCAGTATTAGCCAGGAAATGTATCATAGAGTTATGGTACATGGCACAGAAGAGGCGACAAATGGGTGTTTCACTAGCCACATTAATCACCATTAAGTAGCAGCTCACACGCTCCCCGAATAGTTACGATTGAAGGTGCAAGGACGAGTACACCTATGTGCATTGATACCATAGCGTCTATTACATCAACAGATGCTGGGCTGCGACGTTCTTGATTTTGGTCGTCTAGTTCTGTCACGCGAGGAAGATTTGGCGCAAGAGTGAAGCGCGTGGCTTTGTGAACGACTTGTAGCTCTAAGCTCCTTCCTAAGACTGCACATCTCCTGATACATTTGTTTGATGTCGAAACTCCGTGAGTCACTAGTTGAATAAGGGTCATTCGGATATAATCATAATTCATGTTTGGTGTAAACGGGTAATTTTACATGAAATGTGTGTCATTCTTGCAGACATGATGATAATAGGAACAAAGATGGAACAGTAAAAGTGAATACATGTATAAGAAAAATCAGCTGGTCAGAATGCTCCCATTTTGAAGTGAAACAGTCAGGCAAATTATTTCGTAGAAAAGAGTAGGGCAGTGTCCTGAAACTACTACTTTTGTAACAACAGAGGACAAGGGCCAGGCAACAGATAATCTATATGTTAGCTGTATCCGCCTACGCAAAGTCTGCTGTGGTCGGTTTTGAATCAGTCTTTGTTCATATTTTCTCACGAAAAATCTTGAGAACGTAAACATTGAAGTAAATTACTGTCTACCGATTTGGCTGGTAGACAGCTCTCACCACACTTTAACGAGTAATTTAACGTTATATCTGAATTAAGACTGGAAGTAGACGGCATGTTGCTGCGTTAAGTGATTATAATTAATATTATTCGAGTACTTTGGAATGAGTGTATTCAAATACCAGTTCACCCATGATCCTGTAATTTGATTAGCTTAGCAATATGGTGTTTACTTTTACTTTTCAATCACTAAATAAAGGTGGACATCCCGAGAAGAAGTAATGCTGTAATTATTCAGTGAATGCCAGCAACCACCAGTCAAAATGGGGTAGTAACATTTCATTAAATAAGCCAAATATATATAAAATTCAAAAATATGAGTTTAGATTTTGAAGTTGCTGCCTTGCTTAATCGATTACATTGCACAGGCATCAGTATCGACCGGCGTAATCCGATGCAAGTGCAATAAATGTAACGCAGTTTTAGTACATAATGCTGCTAAGATTGCGCACGTCGGGAAAGCTTTTCAATACAAAACTTCGTGTAATAAACATGTAAAAATAATAATTCCTACTAAATCAACGAAGCATCGCTACAATTAGCGCGGATGTGCAATAAAGCCACTCAGAATAAACTTAGGTCGTTTTTATCGCCGAAGAGATTTTCGGCATTTGGTGATGGCATTTATGGAGGATTCCGTGGAAATTTCACCTTCTCTTTGGGTTCTCTGCGCATGTAGCTTTGTGTGCGATTTCGGGCTCCGACTGAATGTTAACATAGAATAACGAAAGGTAGCTTTGAACTGCTCCTTGTCACGAACAAATGCAGACATCTTGGGTTCTGGTTCCAATATATCCTATCGGAATTCTACCAACTGCCGTAGACATTTTATGACGTATGGAAAGTATTAGTACTATCAGGAAAGAGATGTTCAAAAGTCCACAGAGATAAGGTTTGGGCAATGCAAGCTGTTTCTGACAATTAACAAATTTAAAAGGAATGAAGTGTAGTCTGATTAGAACACGTTCGGTTTAGCAGCATCCAGTGAAACACTCAAAGCTATACAAAATTTCAGATGTACGCATCCTGGATAGACATCAAAATAGTCTGTTAATATGCAGTTTAAAAAGATAAGGCTGGATTCAGCAGCAGAAATAGAAATATTGAAAGCGAATGACATATGCATTTGATCTTTGATATTTCGCTCTGTCTGTTTTTATTAAACTTTACCCAAAGAGGGATCGAACAGGCAGTAAAGTTACGGAAGCAGACAAAAATATATGGGAAAATTAACATAAGAATGATTTTCCTCGCTAAAAGCAGAATTTCAAGGGAAAGGTTATTGAGACGACTAGCGTCATTTGATAACCCAGGTGCGCAAACATTTTGTAAAGGTAATAGCGTATGTTAAGGTGAAAGAGGTGAGATTAAAACAGCCATTGACATCGTAAGCTCAGGCGCAAGCGCCTCATCTACACTAGATGGTATAAAAGTACTCACCTCTTAAAAGCTTTGCCTCTGTTTGTCAAGTAATAATCTGAATGTATGAAACGCTTATCTCAAGTCCAAAGGCTTTCGGTTATGAAACATTGTTCACTATTGTTGCTCAAGAATATTATATTTTAACTCTTGTAGGACTAGTTTATTTTGAGTAACCAAGTTGTATGAAGGGATAGTGGAGATGTTTTCAAGATCATAATTGAAAAGTTCAGGAAATGTATGTGGCAAATGTCCAGTGTTACAACTGCACTTCCGATGTATTGTGTAGTCTCAGATTGAAGCAGTTCTGGGAAACGCTAGATAGTAAACTTCACATCTGATGAACTTTTCCGTATGTGAGGGCGGACCTAAAGTCACTTCATCCTGTAACTTGTTGCGAAAATGTCGGCAAAACACTGAGGATCTTCCTTGTTATTATGTTTGAAATGAACATATGAAGCTTATTGTTTGTGAGTCTTTGGGATAGTCTGTCACGACCAATGGATTTGGAGTGCTGAAATTTCTTTAAATGATGCATACGGGCTAAATAATTATTCGCTTGGCAAGAATAATGTGAAACTACTGAGTTTAGGAAAGTGATTAAGTCAGCCTCATTATTTGAAACTACTCCCCAGTGACGCAAACATTTCATGTGAAGCCAAACCAACGCTTCATTAAATAGGTACACAACATGAAACAAGACAGTTTTTGGGCAGACAGCAAACTCTATTAGTACACAAGTGAAAATATGTATGTATTTTTTTGATTATAGCTTGATTCCACACCGTATTTTTTGGTACAAGTATGGAATTTTCAGCATGTGATATCGTTAGCCCAAATTTCGCAGGCCGACCATTGATATCGGCTGTGCGTCGGCAGAGGATCGAACCCCGGATCATGTGCATGGTCGGTGAGAGTCCTAACCACTGTGCCACCGACGAACAGAGAAAATGTAGAAACAGGAGTTGACTTCACAGACACTACATGGGGAGTGTCATCTTTCCGAATCCTTCTGCTTTTCTTTACTACCAAATTCTTGATAGGACTTTATGCGTGCTGTCTTCCTAACATGCCAACTGATTGGTTGCCTCAGAATTTCACAGAAACCAAATTATCATTTAAATTACAGGACGTTAGAGAACATTTTTCAGAGAGTCTGAAAGTACTTCTGACTTAAAGTGAGATCCATTATTTCAATATATCTGTTTCAATAGTTGTTCTAGTAAATCGCAAACTCTCTGTAAATAGTTTGGCAACTTTTCAAAGGTTGCGTTAATTTGGCTGAATGACGTGAGTTTGCAGTTATTATGAATTCTGTGTCTCTTTTTGCGAGTCAAAAGTTAAAAATAACAGCTAAATCCAAGATTCCACGTCACTTCAAAATTTTCCACTACTCAGCATTCCTTATAAACGTCAGTTAGTGTCTCATGGTTGTCACCATATACGTTTTTTTGCAATTGAAATTGATTGTCACTTTCCGTGTGAGCTAGTATCAATCGGCTTAGTTGTAGAATTTGAGCAGTAATTTGCATCTGTCTATGACGTTTCAATTTATAGGGCAGTGTTCGACTGTGTGTGATGGTTATAATTATCCTTTTTGTAGGGGACTGGGCTGCATTTGAAGACTAATATTTCTGTTGTATCAAGAGGAAATTCCTTAATATTCACCATTTTTACTAGTTTCAGCTTTGAGCCACATTCATAAGACGGTAGCAATCTTGTGACTTATTGGACTAATTCGACTTGTCAGCTTAATCTACTTGTTTAATTGACTTTTACTGATTTTATGGTAAATTCTCGTTTAATTACAGTGTTTCTGTGCATCAGTCATAGCAGCATTAGAAGAAGACTTTGATAATTTAAAACTTCAATATCTATTTCAGTGAGTCTATATACTCATGCGGGTTTCCCTCGGTTTCAGGTTTTAGTTTATTATTTAGTTTGATATGCGTGCAGATGCTATCACCCACGTCGATACCCAAGTTCCCAAGCTCAAGTGAATTAATAAGCTTGAAGTTTCTGCCATCATTTATATCCAAAGTTGTCTCAGAGAGGCGTAGGGCTTGTTGGTTAATACTATCAGTTTTTCGGTTAGCTATGAGGTGACAGTCATAATAGTGTAGGAGTAGGTCATATACAATGGATCGAATATAGTCAATACTCAAATGTTGCTTTGAGATTTTAGAGGAAATGGCCAATCCATATGAAAGGTCTAATCTAGTCTATTTTGACTTTTTACTCACTGAGGTTACTTCATTCTGTGCGAATTCGCTTGTCAACCATTTTCTCCTGCTTCTTTTTGAGTGTTGTCATGACTTCTGTGCATCTGTAGATGATGTAAACAGTGTAGTACTCTTTAGCGATCACTACGTTTATAAAGTCTGTCTTAGTACTACTAAGTTAATTTGTTTTCTTCCTTTTAAATGAAGTTTGTAGAGTCAGCGAAAGCCTCATCATCCGTGAAACCTACCAAATTTTGATTAAAACTGTGCGTTGCTTTCACGCTGACAATATTTACTGTTAAAATAATCGTTCCTTAAGCATGCGTTACCTTTTCCAGTTAGCATACAACTTAGTATATTGGAAGTTCCGATGGTCTCCTGAATTAGGTTTTGATTTTTTGAGTGGTTATGTTTACATAACCAATAAGTATAGACTTGCATAAGCGATTAAATGCTACCGGTAGCTGGTTAGCGCATTTCTTGTAGGAGCATCTATAGAATTTTTTACTCCACATGCTGCTTAGTACGTACAGTCTTTTGGAGTATGATTTGTTGTACTAATCAGACCAAACTAGTTATCCGGGAGGAGAAAACATGGGAGAAAAACGTATTCTACTTCAAAGTATTGTACTCTCTACGCATAGTATACACTCGTAACCATATAGTCTGTGGTATGTGACCAGATACATTAAAACCAACACAAAAAGTTGCTAACATAGGCATGTAGAATAGATAAAAACTCTTGAACCTAGTTGAGGTTAAGTAAAATGTATCCGAATAGTTCTTGATGCGAGTTAACACGAAAGAGAGTTGAATTTCTGAACACTAAAATTTCATCTCTATGTCAAAGGCGTGCTGATACGAAGACGTTATAGTCCTGTTTACTAGGATTATCAACGACATATAGTCTTCTGGGAACTAAGTAACATACTAAGAATGTTTTAGTTTTCAGTTCGAATACTCCAACTTCCAAGGTTAAGACAGCATTACAGCCATATAGTATTTACTAGTGTACCAGTGTTTTTTATAATCAAATCTATAAAATCGATCATTCATCTTCGCATAAAACCCTGGCTTTAGTGTAAATCGTGGCAAGGAATGCTGAAAAGTATTTATTTTAATGACTACACATTAAGTCAGTGCAACATAACACACCATTGCTTTTAGTGTTTGTGTACGCTACTGAGTAGAAAAACTAACCTGTGAAGAGTAATAAAACCGTAACAACTCTGTTCCTCTAAGTTATTATAAACGGAGATGTAAATCAGTACTGAGATATTAATTTACAGGTGATAACTTGAGATAAACACACAACGCCTTGTTTTTTTTCCGATGATGACTAAAACTTTTGTAGTGTCTTTATTTGTCAGCAAGATGTCAGCTTGCGATAATAATCTTTAAAAGGGAAACCAGCCGGTTACAACTTTATCCTTATAAGATTTCAAGGTGATTAAAGAAGTTTTACAGCTCAGAAATGAAGCATTTGATTATCCATTAGTATATAAGAAAAAATTCTCAGTCTGTTACTGACTCACTGATGAGTCAAAGTGAAATTTCACACATATATGCACCAGTTCAGCTTGCTACAATTTGAAAAATACTCATAAAGAAAAGAGAACAGATGTATAGTCTAACTACAAGGAACAAATCGCACGTGGAAAAAAGAATGGTAGAAAGTATTTATGTCCAGAATTTCAGTGACCATGAGGAGTAAGTACTGACATCTTTGTGAACCATTTTGACCACTGCACTCAAAGTCTGCAGCGATTGATTCTTCTTAATAGATAGTGGTTTATTCAGTAGGCAGTGTTTTATTGGAATAAAAACTACTGGATACATTTTCGTACTCGTAAAACACCAGAATCGTCTTCTCACATTATTTGAAAGCAGCAGATTAAAAAAAGCCGTACCTATTGCTCCATGTACCTGTCAGTAATAACTCATGAGTTTAGGTGCGCGACCATCAATTATAACACGCAAAGTTCTTCAAAGTGCATAACTGAATTGTATCATAAAATTATGAATCGTGAAACATAGTTCATTATACAAACGATTGAAGGATTATTGATCTGCTTATGTATCAATAATAAGATCAGAAAGTATTTATTTCACTTGAAACAGTTTTTTTCATCGTCATCAATCATTTGCCTTTCTCTAACTATTTCATGTGGAATTTGCTTACGTTCATATGATGTTTACATATGTTGCCTAACCAGAAAGGAAATTTCAGAAATATCTCTTTTTTACATGAACTTCTTAGTGTTTAACTCAACCATCATTCAGTGTTTTGGTTTGACTGTCGAATAGTAAAGTGTCTCTTGAAGTGTATTTTTAGAAATGGGGGAAACCACGTACTTCATTATAACGTCTTACTTCTCCTGAAGCTTTATTCGCTGCGACATCAAATTCAGTGTCCCCTTTTTTATTTTCTCTTAACCGGCTCATTTATTTCCTTTTTATTTACAGAGACGCGTGTATCCCTCGCCAATGACCGTCCAAAATGATGTTTTCCGTCAGTTATACAAATGTCACGGTGTTGACTTTGACCTTTTAAGAGGTGGCAAAGACAGCCTACTGTTACAGGTGCCGAAGACGCGGTCAACTTTGAGTTTATTAACTCTATCTCAAAATCAACTCGAAAGAATTAATGTAATTCTATTGTCACTTTTCTTCTGAAATACTAGATTATCTCTGAATTACGTGATGGTGAAAATATACTTGTTAATGATTTAAAAATAGTTGTAAAGGTAAATATATTGAAAATTTCTATCAGTCTAATCCCAGGTTTATAAAAATCCATTAGAAAAGTTAGGCATACTTACTTCAACAGAGATATACCAACTTTTTTATACCATTGAATCAGTTATACCAATTTTTGAAAGTTTGTTCAACTTTTACTATAAGCATACTTATTCTCCAGGGTTAATAACTGATATTTCCTTGGAATTTAATAAATCTTTTGGTCTGCCGGTTATAGGAACGATCTTATCTATCTGGGTAAGTTAACTTCTGTGGGAATATTGTTTTTTTTTGATTTATGATTGTAAACGTGATTTCTCTTCACCATCTCTGGTAGAATTCAGCTTATCATCTACAATATAAATCCTTTCGGCTAGTGTATAGTTACTTTTGTGTCTCGGCAACTTGGTTGAATTTCCATGCAATTTAGCAACTAGTCACACTTATTGTGTGAGGGCTAGTGTACTACTTGGTTGACACAACTTTAGCAGATGGAGTGGGGGCAGGGACCTGTGACCCAGTAGTTGGAAGTCGAGCTTCTAGGCCAATAAGATACGACTCCGTATGCATGTTTGTTTGACTAGATATAACGGTAGGATAAAGGAATTTATGTATTTCTCAATATATTTAAGGTCTCTCCATTTTTTAAGTTTCTGGAGAGTATTTTATGAGGACAAACGACAGATAGTGATTCTTTCAAGATTCTTGTGAACATATTTGTTAAAGTTCACTGAGGATATACCATTTAGACAGATTGCCATTTATGTGTGCTAATATGTTGTCTTGAGCATGCTTGCCTATCCTATATGAACACCAAATAACCACTACTTAGTGAAATACTGCTGGGCTTTCCTTATGAATTCAACGAGGTGGTTACTTTTGACAGTTTTACTGGATCAGTAGTCCTAAAGTGAGGTGTGAGCTAATGTATGTTGATTGTCTGCTGCTAGTCAGAGTATTAGAATTCTATAAACTGTAATAAATATACTTAGCTCTACTTTTACTTGATAACCTCTCATCTTTAATGATGGTGGTAACAGAAGAAGTAAGATGTTTATAACATCTAAATAAATAAAGTGCACAGGGCAAAAAAAGAAAGCCTTCTATGGTTGTAGTTAGATCACTTGCAAAGTTGAAGGTCACTTAGACAAGGTCTTTGGTTACTTTGGTGGTTCAACGGTAGAATGCCCCTAGCCACGCACTTATACCAGGGTTTAGTTCCTGGTCAACGCACTCCTAAGCCTCTCCAAGCCGGTAGTAACTCGGGTCTAGAAGAAAGGTTGGGCATGAAGCTAGCAACCTCATCCCGTGAAAACAACCCAAGCGCTGCTGAAAATCCAAAGCTTAAAGCTTGAAGCCCTGTGTTTTCCACTAGGAACGCAGGGGAATGAAGTAAAAGTAAATCTGGTTAATTAAGGGATGTTGGCTTCTTGATTTATATGGTGTGACTATAAACTCATCCCAATACCAAGTGTTGTTTAATATGTTGTGCCACCCAGTGTAGTAGCCAAATGCAAAGCTCGATTGATACGTAGAGTTTTAGAAAGACACTAATTTCCGGCCAGTCATTTATTTTTGTATTTAATCTCATTTTGCTAGGTATCTGTTGTATCATTTATGCTGTACTCATAAATCCACTAAATTTCTAATTGAGTGGTTTCGACTCAACTTGGGAAACTGTACAACAGTACGGCTATTTAAATTGCTAACCTTCATGAAACAAAAAATAGGCGTTAGAGAGAAGAAGGGCTATTGAATGTACAGGAGAGGGTTGAAGGTTTAGTGATTCTGGAACATAGCAAGAAGAAAATGTATTTGCGCTATTGAGAAGGATTTTGAGCGATGTCATGAACAGTCTCCAGCCATTGGTTCTTAGCTTCTCGAGGACCCAAGCCGGGTAGTTTATACCCTCCTATGTGTCTCCAACCAACAGATAAGGACTTCATAGACTAATGGCAAGTTTTGACCTGACCACCCGTAACTTTCTACCGACCCAATTTTATTATCATCGAATACCGCATGTGAATGAGTTGCTATGGCTTGGAATGCGCGACACATATATACTTCACAATATCAAATCACCAAAAGAATTTAGTGGTCCATGATGTTTGGTAGGGAGAAAAAGGAGTACAGCATTTCTATGAGTTCCTTGAAAGTATGTTTACGCCTTTAGTGTTGGCAAAAGACACAATTCTGCATTTAGTTTTTCATACTTTTTTTTTTACTGATTTATGTTTTAATTTTATCCATATTACAGTTAGGTGTCGATATGTTATTGACAGAGTCGTCATCCAACTATCTTGATTTCGGTCAAAATTGGTATTCATTAACATCTAGATACATTCATTCCGTCTGTGAGAACTATGTGAATACAATGCCGTCTTCAATTAAAATTCTCTTGGATTATTCAGTTCATTTATATGAAGCTCGGAAATATTTTGATGCTTTACGCCAGCAAAAGCCTGCCTTCACTGACTTTCTTTCACGGTGTTCACAAACGAATTTCAGTAAACGTTTGGATTTATGGCATTTTTTAGGTAATTACTTTTGTTTTTTCTAAAATGTCTTATAAATGTCATTCATTTTCTGACTGTAATATTATATACATTTAGTTTGGATTGTGTGTCTGTGATCTGAAGCTTACGTTTAGTTTGAATCCACCGGATTAAGGCGCCTGATAAGTTGAGGGGCCATCGTTCAAATTTATTAGTTTTGATGCGGATATATATATATATTTCTATACTTGGACTGACTCACCTCTGCGTTAGACTCTGCATTGATCTGTTTCATTCGGTAAGTCAGTAAAGCTTAACTAATTCTGTCTCAACAAAGGTGAATACCCTACACCGTAAAAGTATATTTGTATGAGCGAACTGATTTATTATGATTATTATTCCTTTGGGTTCCAAGTGGAACATACGGCTTCAACAGAATATCTCCATTTCGCTCGGTTCTCTGCAGGATTGTCTTCTCTTCACATCATCTCCATGTCATTTTTGGACGTCCAACCTATCGTTTCCCATCCAAGTCCCATTCGAGGGTCGCCTTGTGATAATACCACTCAATGGTCTCCCCAGCGTATGTCCTCCATCCAATCCATCTCGATTTCTTACTAGATATTTTTTGGGCGATAGATTCGTGGTTGGTTTGTTACCAGAGTTCCGTCTTGCTAATCCTTTTTCGCCATCTGGTTTTCAGTGTGGAGCTAAGGTGGCTGTCGATTAAAGTTTCGGCGACGCCCCAAGTCTCGGAACCACATGGAAGACTTTCGTGTTGAAAATCTGATTCTTGTTCTGTATGTTGGGTGCAGCAGATTCCCACACTGATATGACACTAGTGAAGATCTGAAGATCTCTCTTGCCCTTCCAATCGTGCATCTGACGTTCTCATCTGTGCCGCCTGTAGTTGAAACAGTGCGATCTAGATTAGTAAAAGGTACAACTGCTGTTACATTTCTCCCGTTGATGGTGACTGGTGCGTATTGTTGTCGGCTTTCGGGTTTCTTCATCACATCAGATAAAAATCATCCACGGAGTCCAAATCTTCTATAGTATTCTTGTTGGCCCAATGTATGCCTATATTCTCACTCCCCACGACCTGTTTCATAACCCAGTTCACCAAAATCAGGTTTATCACTGGTGATATAGTAGGCAGCCTTGTCTTACACTTCTCTTCACTACTTAAATATTCAGTGAAATTAGTAGCTATCATCTGTATCATATAAAACTTTACTTTTGTCTTTTAAAAATGTTCTCTAATAAGTAGACTGTCAGAGAAAATCAAGCAAACGTGTAAATAAGTTAATATCATTGACAATATAAGACCAAAAGGAATAAAGGTGACGAGATAAAGAAAACTAACACAGAAGAGATAGAATATTAATAGGTTTACACTAACTAACTGCGTCGTATTACTTATGGGAACCTTCTACTACAGAAATTATACCATCTCTTGTATGATTGTCACCTAAGAACTTCTATTTTCTACCAAATATATATAGGTGAACTAATAACTGTTAACTTCAATTATCACCGAGGTAAAGTGTGGAGGGATTTGAAAGAGGTTACTTCATTCACTTATCTAGGAAGCATTGTCTCAACTACACGAGGAACAGACGAGGATGTCAAATCGAGAATCGGGAAGGCGAGGAACACATTCATCAACCTGAAACCAATCTGGAAATCTTCGTCACTCAGCCTGCATCAACAACAAAATTCAAATTTTCAATACAAACGTCAAGTCAGTCAGTTCTTCTTTACGGATCAGAAACTTGGCAGGTCACCAAGAATATTTCCAACAGCCTGTTGCAGACCTTTATCAACAACTATCTTCACTGGCTCTATACTGAAGATCAGATGGCCGGAAAGAATCACCAACAAAAAACTATGGGGACAAACAGAACAAGAACCAATCGCCCAACAAATATGCAGGAGAAAGTGGGGATGGATTGGACACTCGCTGAGGAGGCCGTTGGGTGACATCGTGCGTCAGGCCAACGCTCGAGTGGAACCCGAAAGGGAAGCGGCGAGTGGTTCGTCGGTGCAAGGATGGTCGGGGGTGGGTGCCTTGCGCTGCGGCTGGGCCACCCCTCCGCACACCTCTTGAAATGCTCCCATATGACCGGGCGTCTTACATAGCCTCTCCTGAGGAAGTCCTACTCACTGCCTTCACGTGGCGGAGGTGTTTTTCACCAAAGTGAGAGGGCGAAAGCGGATGCCCGGCGCTCTTCACCGAGTTGACTGTCCATTGGATGACAGTCTAGGGGAGATGGCTAAACCCTGATTCCAAACCTCCAACGACTGGCGTATGAATCTCACTGGAGCTCACCGGCAGACGTATGGACAAAGGGCTTGTTGGATGTCCTGGATGTCTGGCCCCATTGAAAAAGGCGTATGAACCGAACTCCGGTCACCGGCTGCCAATGGATAGTGGACTCCCTACTCCACTCCTACTGCCTTGTAGGTCACACTTGGTTGTGTGAAGGCTAGAGCTGCACTCTCAAACAAAAGGCCGAGCGATTCTGGGGACATCACTCGTACCAAATTCCCATGAAACTTCATGAACTCTCTTACCTTGTCGCAAAACCTTGCAACAGATCGCCGCGCCTGGGCAGCGATGATTCGAGATGTTCATGAAGCCGGCTCATCCTTCCGTAGGAGATAGCCGAAGTAAAGTAAAGTAAGTAAGCAAGGGTGACATGGAGGAGATCGTGTGAAGAAGAGTTGAAACAGTATGGACTCACATGGATGCAGATGAGAAGTACAGCAGAAGACAGAGGCAAGTGGAGACGTGTAGTTGAAGCCCTATGTTCCACTAGGAACCCAAGGGAACAATAATAATATATAATAATAATAAAGTGTGGATTAAAAGTTCTACCCGGCCATCCATATCCATTGAACTTTTGGTTGTTGCCTATCCACCACCGCCTGTTAGCCTTTTGTGTTTCAACAAACACCGATGGTTCTGTGTCACTTATCCATTCAGTGCTTGGTTGGATACTAAGTGTGGTTAGAGCGTATATTCCTCAAAGTGCTTTTCTTTCATGGTTCAAAATGTCACCTTTAAGAGATGATTGCTGGGTTCTTAAGTAATAATGCGAGCATCTAACGAATGAGTCCCAAAAAGAATGTAATGCATTCTCTAGATTCCATCGCCAGTCACCACTGAATAACTAACAGGATGAAATTACAAACTAAACTCACATACAGACAGACTGACATCATAAAGTTGTAACCGACGGGAATAACAATCCTCGGGCTAGTAAATTTTTTAATTGTGATTTTTTTCCAATTATATGAATAATCTTAATAACTTTTCATTGTGTAATTAAAATAATAGCCATCATTGAATAATACCGTTCTAATCTTTCATACCACATTGACTGTATGTATTTGTAAGCAATCTGTTTAGGTGAGGACATATCACCACTCCCTTTTTTTTCATCCCATTGAATACTACTCTGTTTCAGTGTAAATTTCGTCAGGAACTGACATCAGTTCTAATTTGAGACTCTTCAGCAGTGCACACCGACGATCTCACCAGGAATTGAACCCGGGAACTTCAGGTTACGAGACCAAACTCGCTGACTACTCAGCCACTTGGTGACGGTGGTGGCATGGTGGCCGATTCAATGACTCGTGAATTCCAACTTCGTCATTTCATGATATATCGCTATCCCTAACCGTTGTCTTTGATTAGTATCCACTTTACCTTGACATGTTAGACCCCATTGGTCATGACTTCTCAGGACAGCTTCAGGATGTCGATCCAGTAGCTGTCAATGAACTGGAGACTGGAAACCAGAATCTAAATATCAATAATCTCTAATTGATGTCTGCTTCGTGACGAAATCTGCATTGATTTTAATCCATCTCTACAAAAACTGCATAATCTAAGAACTATGCTATTCCTTTTTTTAAAAATCTCCCTTTAGTAATAGTTAAACTGTACATTATTGATGTTGTATGAAGTGCATACCTAGATTGTTTGTTTCATATTATGCAATCCGTAGAGTTATGAGCTATCCTGGTTCTTCACTTAACCAAATAGCGTAATAACTCAAATATGTGTACATGTTTAGGACAAAAGTGTTTGTTGAGTACCCTTGATATAACGCCTTCTTCATTCATACTTTAAGCAATCTCTATGTATAAATAATACTGAGAATAAAATGATGGTAAAAAATAAATTCATACTGGACTATATCTCTACTGAATATCAAATCTTTCTAATTTCCTGATAAGAAATTTCAATATTTTCAAGTATTGGTTTGTAGGGATTCGATTGATTGGTTACAGGATTTCATTATGAGATGACATTAGTTAGAGAACCATTGGAAGACCAGCCAGGCAGTACTGGACAGCTATTTCGTCAGCCTAGTTTGGGGCTCTTCATCAGTACGCACCCATCGCCAGGGTTCGAACCCAGGACCTTCTGGTTACAACGCCAGCAAACTCGTAGACCATTAAGCCACTGAGACCCAACCCAATGACCAGCCCATGAATTCCAACTTCTGCTAATTCATGACGTAGCGCGACCACTTCGCAATGTCTTCTTCGATGATGAAATCCTCCAACCAATCAAACAAAAATCCTTACAAAACCAATAATTGAAAATTATTCTGATGCTTACCAGCGACTGGCCCTATTCAGGCAGTTAACCTGGGGTTCTAGTGGGAAGCAATGGGGTACAGCAAGTTGAAGGTGAGGGAGGCAGTAACTCATCGAAGAAGACATTGCGAAGTGGTCGCGCTACGTCATGAATTAACAGAAGTTGGAATTCATGGGCTAGTGATTGGATTGGGTCTCAGTGGCTTAATGGTCTACGAGTTCGTTGGCCTTGTAACCAGAAGGTCTTGGGTTCGAACGAGGAAGTGGGCGCGTACTGATGAAGAGTCCCAAACTAGGCTGGCGAAACAGCTGTCCACTACTGCCTGACTGGTCTTCCAATGGTTCTCTAACCGATGTCAGTTCATGATTAAATCCTCCAACCAATCAAATTTCAATATGTCTATATTCACTAAGACATATACCTTCTCTTGTAAGTCTTACTGCATATATTATTCGATAGTAGTTTACTTTTAATGTAGATTTCTTTTTCATCATAAATAAAAGAACAATTAGTGATAGTATTGAAAATCATGGACAGCTATTTTAGTTGTAGGTCTCTGTGACTCTTTATCATTTAAAACTAACTAACTGTTAGATTCTCCGGACGTACCACTAATAGCTTACATTCAGAAATCATTGATATTAATAACAATAATTATGATTTGCTTTATTCCAAAACAATACTCATGGTACAATATTGCATTTAATTTACTCAACAACAACAAAAAATATCATTACAGGGTATAGGTAACCAAAATTGATGATAGCACCTTTTTGGTATTAGCAGTGACAAAAAAGTCAAAAATGTACAAAAAGTATGGAATGATGATAATAATGTTAATAACTAAAATTATTAGATAACTGAAACAGCGTCACCATAAATTATGAATAGAATAGTCCTAACCACTGTGCCACCGACGCACATGGTCCGGAATTCGATCCCATGCCGACGCACACCCGATATCTATGGTTGGCCTGCAAAATTTGGGCTACCGATATCCATGCTGAAAATTCCATACTTGTACTGAAAATACGGTGTGGCACGCACCAAGCTGTAACCAAAAATATAAAAAAATAAAAATAAATGAAAGAGTCATTTATTTAGTCAACTACACAGTAAGATCTAAGTTTTACTCTTAACATTATCTCTATCATATAGAACGTGGGCCGAGTAGAGTATCTTTGAGTTTTTGTACTTGGTTGTGCGAGCATATAATCTTTTGTAATGAATTCTATTCCTACCGGATGAGATGCAAAGGCAGAGTTATGTTGAGAGTCAAACAGTATGGAGTTAGACCATACCTCACATCAGCTGAGATCTCTATCAACTACAATAGTAACGAGATGGCTGACTTAGTGACACACTACTTAACCTACTGACAACCGTTAACACCCTTCGCAATATGAAATAGCCCTTTTTGAGTAGCCAGGAATGACTAAGTGGGTGGGGGGAGCAATAAAGAACAACAGGTAAGATGCAAGAGTTGACAAATTGTAAAAGTAGAGGTTGCGTGATTCCTGGTTATCTTAATTTCGCAACGTAGAAGGAACATTTTCCTAGAAATTGAGGTCAGAAGATGGAATTACTTCAAGGTATTTTATGCTTGACGACACAGACATTACGTGGCAGCTTATTGACTTCAGTATGTTAGTGTCCTAGATTTAATACACCACAACGTCTTAAGTGTCCATCACTAAAGCGTCTCAAAATTGGAAGTGACAGCTACACTGTCGGCTTTTTAATGGTTTTCTTAAGTAATTTTAATTCGTCGTGGAGTCTACCTTGTTTGTGTTTTTTATGCATCAGATTATGAGCCACACTTATCATGTGTGTGTGTGTGTGGGGGGCTGACAATACTGCCCAGTTAATAAGGCTAAAATAAATAGAATGAGACTCGAACACATGTCTTGTTGACTGAAAGTTGTGTGTTTAGCCTAATGATCTACATCTTCACTAAACTCTCACTATGAAATTATTCAAATTCACGATCTAGAACTAACAATATAATTTCAGAGACATTTATATTCCATAGAGGATTTCATCATGAGCTGACATCAGTTAGAGAACCACTGGAAAGCCTGGGAGTACTGGATAGCTGTTTCGTCCTAGTTTGGACTCTTCATAGGTACGCAACCACCGCCAGGGTTCGAACCCGGGACCTTATGGTTACAAGGCGAGCTCGTAGACTATTGAGCCACTGGGACCCGATCCAATGGTCCTTGAATTCTAACTTCCGCCAATTCACGACATAGCGCGACCATTTCGCAATATCTTCTTCGATGAGTTACTGCCTCATCTTCAACCTACTGTACCCTACTGGTCATGGCTTCTCACTAGAACCCCAGGTTAACTTCCTGAATAGGGCCAGTCACTAGTGAGCATCATGATGAAATCCTCCATGCAATCAAACAAAATCCCTACAAAACCAATACTTGAACATTTATATTCCTTTCACCTAATTAGTCTGTTACAGACTTTCACCTTTCCTCCGTCTTCTTCTTCTTCTTCGTTTTTTTCTGTCTTGAAATGATTTTTACTTTTTCTCACTACTTTCTCTCTTTTATTTTTCCCCCTGTGTTCACCAGAATGTCCTAAAACCAGACTGATTCGATATCCCCTGCTACTTGATCGGTTGATCAAACTGGTGAGTTTTTGCTGTTGTTGTTGCTGTTGTTTATTTTCATTATTTAAAATGATTACTAAATTATTCATTTCTTACCGATTAGTTGCATTTTATTAATTTTTTTCTTCTTATCGGTAATTTGTCTCTAGCCCTCATGGTCACCGTTATCATTATTATCATCATAATATGTGGAGAAGTACCTACATATCTATATGTATGTATGTGTGTATTTACGTATGTGTTGTCGACTCGTAAAGAAATGCCTACATTAGGAATTTATGAAGTAGCTTACGCAATTTTAAGGAGTATGTAGATATGTGTTTTACTTAATTCTTTTCTTCTCTTTCCCCCTTTTTTCTCCTCGTTTGTTTTTTAAGGCTATCTATTGACCACTACTTTTAATTTATTTATACATTTATTTGTCTGTGTTGAAAATTATCTGACGATATGCCTTTCGCCTTTTATCTTTTGCCTTTTGTATTATCTTCATTCTTATCCCTTAGTTCTTGTGTGTTGCAGTTAAATCATGAATTGTTATGCTACTCTTCAGTTTTGCTCCTTCAAAGGCGCACACACAAACACACACAGAGAAAGGATTTTGAGAGTAAGTTAGCAAGAAACGAATATAACTATTGACCATTTGGCTGACTATATATAGTTTTTGAATTGAGTAGTTAGAGCACTTGTTACTGCTATTCGTTTCTCGCATTCTTAGTGAAACATTATAGCGGGAGGTGGGGGGGAGGGTGTGCACTACTCAGATGTCTGCCATCCCTTCCAACAGGCACCATGACTGCCTATATGTTTTCATTTTTTTTCTCTCACACAATCTCTATTATGTCATCATCGAACCCATGCCCAAATCATCGCTTCTTATTTTGCGTTCCACTCAAAGGTCTGATGCATGACATAAGTTGAAGATCTCTTCTTCTGCATATTTGTAGGCAAGTTTGCTGACTGAAAGAGCTCCTTGTTTATAATGTAGGTTTTTTGTATTTCCCAATGAATGAAAAACAAAACGATGTCGTTTTTACTGACGTTTCGCTATTTAATGCTGCTGCTAATAGCTTTATCAAAGTAATATTAAACCAGAATTTACAAAATCCACTCAGCTTATATACAACAACTTGATCGTGGTTCCTCAACATGGGGTCATTTTTCCCTTATCAAATTGGCCAATCGGTAAAGATAACAAAACCATCATGTGTAGATTGTTGGATTTAATAAGTGTATAAGGTTATAAAAGCAGGGTGTGTTTACATAATGAAATTGCATATCACATTCGTGTTGATTTTTTCATTTCATGGGGGAGGGGAGTTGGTGTTGCGACCAGGTTAAATTCTGTTTTAGTTCATCATTCCTATTCAGACAATTTGGATTCCATTTGATATGAAGTTCTTCTGATATGAGACGTTCTTGATGATTTCTGAAATTTTTCTGGATGATTTCAATATTGTCAAAATGAATTTTGTGGCCTGATTCGATAGCGTGTAGACCTATGGCTGATGATTTTTGAAGCTTTTCTAGTTCAAGTGGATTTCTCGGTAGTTAAACAGATGCTCTACGGTGTTCATTTCTTCTGATTTTGATTTCTCACTGGTGATGTTTATCCGATGTATATCGCATCACATTCCAAGCAAGCATTTTATTTTATAGACACAATTTGATAGAGAATCTTTAGGGATTTAGTCTTTTATATGGACAAGGTTGTTTCGCAGTGTGTCTGATGTTTTGAAGAAAACTCTGATGTCGAGCTTATTGAATACTCTTCTGATATCGTCTGACTTTTGTGATCTATAGGGGGAATGACAACTGTTGAGGTCCATGTCTTCGGAATACGTTTTCGACCATACTTAATGTCTGTGTTGATTTTGTTGATGAAGTTCTTTGGGTAGTTGTTTTGCTTGAGAGTCTCAGTAATGTTTGATATTTCTTCTTCTTTTCTTTTCTCGTCCGTTATCAAAGAGTGTGCCTGTCTAAGAAGACTTGAAACAACTGATACCTTTGCGCCGAAGGGATGTGATGATCGGAAGTTTAAATATTTGATGGAGTGGGTTTTCTTCCTGAATATGAATATACTAAAATGTCCGTTTTCCTTCCGCATAACTAGACAGCCAGTCTATAAATGGTAGTTCACCGACATCTGATTCTGCTTACGAAGTAAACTGGATGTTGGGAGATAGATTGTTCAGTTTCTCCAAGAATGAACTGTGTAGATCTTTTTTTTTGCACTATAAAAGTGTCATCAACTTATCTTAACCATATTTTAGGAGTGAGTATGCTTGAAAAGATGTTATCTTCTAATCTATTCATAAAAAGATCAGCAACACCATTTGTCTCTCTATATAAATTCCCTTTAAATATAAAATAATTACTTTCTAGACAGAATTTTAAGTTCCTACTTATTTCACTGGTGTCCAGTGAACATCTCTGTGATAGCGTTGTATCTAGTTCTAGTAAACCGGAAATGATTTCAAGACTTTTGGTAATAGGGATACAGGTGTATAATGAGTTAATATCATAGGTTACCATAATGTCTTGATCAATTTCTTGGTGTTCTACGTGTGATTTACAATCATATGAATCTTTTACAATATTTTGAGTGTCCTTTTACAGTAGCTGTGGTATCGAAAATAAGTATTTGGAGAGGTTGTATATCGATGAGTTGATGAAATCTATTACTGGTCTTAATGGGACTGTGAGTTTATGTATCTTTGGTTGACCGTAAAATCTTGAAGGTGTGTAAGACTTTGGTTTCAGTTTAAACCAGAGAGTTACTTGTTTCTTATCCTCTACTACCGTTATCTGATCTTCAGTATCGAGGTAAGGAATGCAGGTGTTGGTGAATGTTTACAATAGACTGTTTGAATTGCTTTTGGTGGCGCGCTAAGTCTATAAAATCATATGGATGTTTACGCATTAACTTATTCTAATAACAAGGTGCCATCATTTTCATGACACCTTTACCGTTGCATATTTCAATTTATTGAAGATGCCCATTAAAAATTTAAAAGACTGATTCATGAAAAGAAAATTTACTTTTCCGTAAATTCATCATCAGGTTCTACATTTATACGACAGTAATAATTGAAGAAAGTATTCTTATTAACAACATTAATACTGTTTTAAATTACATTGCATCAATAGTATCAGTAAGCCGCAGCTTATTATTTTCCACACTACCACCAGTTGCGATTCCGAAAGTAATAGACGAAGTACCTAGGCTGGTCATTTATATTGACTGTTACTCTAGGAATCTAATTCTTCGTGCTCGGGAACATTTACCAGTGTAGTTAAATAAAGGTGTTGTTAAAACTATCGACAGTTCTATATTGAACCACCTCGTGAAAACAGGCCACAAAGCTAGTATTGAAGAATCTGTCTGTGTCGTCTACTGGGTATCGAATAAATTACCGAAGGCCTCTAGATACCGAACAATTCAAGCAGATGAGTCCACTGCAGTTTTGCTTAAATTAACCGGAGCTCTGCATACAATGCAAAAGAAATAGGTCCAGCCTGTTACTGCTACCCCTTGACCTGCTGTCGAACCTGTAAATTCATAAACTCTGTATTACTTCCCTTAATTTATCTGATATATTAATACATATTACTTCTCTCCTACTGATGCTTTTGAGATGTAATCTGTCTGTACAATTTTTTTTATTCCTTTACTTTCCAAGTGGAACAAAGAGCTTCAAGCTAGAGCTTTGAAGTTTCAGTAGTAGTGGTTTTATTTTTACGGAGTGGGGTTGATAGCCTCATGTCCAACCTTCCCTAATTACCGAGTTTCCTACTGACTTAGACAGGTTTTGCAGTAAGTCAGTCGGGGATCGAACTCTGGACCACATGTGTGGTTGGCGAGTGTTCTACTTCTGAACCAAAGATGCTATCGAAATGTTTGATTCAATGCAATTTAGAATAACATTGATGTTAAGAAAAAAGATTGAGCAAAGAATATCCTTTTCGATAATTTCCTCTTCTGGCTCCACAATTATATATATACATATGTTTATATACATAGAACATTTTAGAATAGTCGTCAATAACAATACTGGTGTTTTTTTAAATACTATCGATTTGTTAAGATCAAAGAAATTACGGTTCAAGAAAGATGCATAAGTTATAATAAGCATAAAAATGTAATAGCAAATAGAATATCAAATAAAATTAAGTAAATTTCCACAACAAACTGAAGATCATTAAAACCTTGACGCCCAAGGTAAGGGCAGTGTCTGAACCAACCAACTTCTTTTGGATACATAAGTTAGGTTTCTTAGTGTAGATCCCAACAGCCTCAGCAATAGTAGTAGACAAACTCTTAATGTAAAGTTAAGATTAGTTGCTATGCGGTAGATGACTGTGAAGGCCACGTTAACATCAACTTTGTGTTCTGTATCCACTAGGTGAAATATAATAGAACAATGAATGGATTTTGTTTGCCCCTTACATAGCCACGTAGGATGGTTTTCGGAAATCCAACGATAAACCAGCCTAATTGTACTGTCTATGTAACTGGCTCCACTGGAGTAGTCAAATAGTTAGATAGAAATAAAAGTGGCGAAATATGCAGCTTATCTTTGACACCAGAAAGCAAAATAGGGTTGGTTTTGGAGACACAGCATAATTCAGCAGGAGTGAATGCTCTTCTTACCGCATTCCTTGGGCGTTGTGTTAATACCTCACTGATGTTGTCCCTGAGGAACTGAAGGTGTAATAATAAGGCATTCTTTTGGAATTTTCGGTACTTTGGCCTGCTTTCAATTTTGATTCGTATTCTCTTAGATGAATGTTTCTGGATAAAAGTTTTCACTCAGCAACTGTTTAGTAATATTAGGCTCTTCATTAAGACATTCATCAGAGCAGATTGCTCTTGCTCTGTGAACAAAGCACTTTATTAGATTGCGTTTGTATTTCAAAGGCACGAAGCTGAGGAAATGAGTATGCTGACCAGTTGATGTTGGTTTCCTATATGCACTTCTTATTGCACTGTCCTTTTTTCTGGTCATAAGGACGTCTAGAAATGAAATAATAGAGTCTCTCTCTTTCTTTATGGTAAAATTTATTGCAGAATGAACATCGTTAAATTTGTCCAGGCAAGATGTTCTTTGCTTCATCCTCATTTTTCATAATCAAAAATGTATGATTGTTGTGCCGACAGCAGAATTCTAGTTCACCAATTACACCTTTCAAAGGCCCATTTTCTAGTTTCGCAAGAGAAATATTGGCTAGAATGGGTCCCAGTGGTGACCCCATTGTCATACCATCAATTTGTCTGTATAGTTTCTTATTAAATAAAAAGTGAGAACATTCATTGTGCATTTCAGAAGAGGCTTTTTATAAAAGATATTGGAATGCCGACATCGATGTCTCGTCTTGTGAGTTCTTAGCATACAAAGTCTACTGCTTCCATACTAAATTGGTACATTGGTGAATAAGGAAGATAAATCCAATGATATGATGAATTTATTGTCAATATTTAAGTCTTTTATCCTTTCAACAAATCCACAGGTGACTTTTACGCTGTGTTTCACCAACTGAGTGTTTAGAGGCTGTAAGAGTTTAACCAACTGTAACAACAGAAGACAAGGGCCAGGCAACAGATCGTTTATTACGAAAAATCAACACGTATTTATAGATTTTTATGTACATTATTGTAGGTCAATGTTAGTAGAAAATACAGTCTGTTGATTGGTTGTTTCTCACACAAAGTTAACCTTGCATCTCTTGGGGCTGTGTCAGTTCATCTATATGTTAACTGTATCCGCCTGTCCACCTTGACCTTTGACCTCAATTACTGTCAACCAATTTGGCCAGCAACCATCTCTCACCACAACATGACTAATATTTGATACATAAACATTGACCTCAATTACTGTCCACCACTTGGCAAGTAGACAGCTCTCACCACACAACCATTTAGCTATGGGATGGTATATTGAATTTAACATATCTAGAACACTGGTTGAAGCGGCAAATCATTTTTGTGCACTTTCAGCGAACCGTATAATCTTGGTGTGAACCTCCCAGTAGGTTTCAGTGATGTATACTGACTTTGTTATAAGATGAAGCCTTGTTGTTTCAGTCTTCTCAATGTTTCAGCTCACTGTTTCTCTGTCTTTTCAGTCGGATCCAAAGAAGATGGGATTTTTCGGAATTTTAGGTTGCCACTAAGCATGGTATTCATCTTCTCGAAGTAATGACGATTGTTCTAGAATATTCTGTATATATATATATATGTATATATTAGAGCCAGGAGAGGAAATTATTGAAAAGGATATTCCTTGTTTATCAATGTCTGCTGGATATTTCTTAGTTTGAGACTGTAAAGCACTACATGATAACGTACGTCGACACATCTTGTGTGACCTATTTTGTAAATGCAATATAGTGGTATAAACTATGAACAGATAACTAAGCATTTTAGCACCACATATTCACGCATAATATAACAATGACAATTTTTCCAATATTTATAAACTTATTTTTTTAAATGTTATCAGACTTCTAGTTTGAAAAAATTGTCTTTCACCTTTTAGACACCAACATCAGATCCTGAATTCAGTCATCTGCTTATTGTCCGATCAGCATTCACTTGTATTGCTCAAGAATTAAATCGTAGAATTGGTTCAGCTATGCGTGATTTATACTTGGAGCATATTGAATTCAATTTGGCTTTAGAGGTTAGTTTCATTTTTTTGTTTTAGTTTCAGTTATTTTGTATTGAGATTACTAAGGTATTGTGTACAGTTGCACTCTGTGTTATTGGTCATAATAGTTTACTCACTAAAAGTACTCATTTCAAAGTGCACTACAATGATGAGACAGTCAGTTTGGTGATCATGTTGCAAACTCGGCTGGTAGAACACCAATAACAAGGAGTAGACAGTTGATATGATACCGCCTACTGCCTAGTGACATATCAATGTGTCCATTGCAGTTCTACAGGAGGTCAATCGTGAGCCCATATTAACTCAGTGATAACGAGTCTAACACGGGTTCAAATATCCGCGTGGACACCAGTGCCTTCAACGTTGCATAATGCTTTTCTGATGAATTATGACAAGCATGAATTCTAAGTCTAAGGCTTCCTACTGATTGCCTCCAACCATCTGAATAGGATGCTTCACTTGAAGTAGGTTTTGTGCATATGCAATCTTATGTAACAACTTATGGCTCCTAAAAGACAAGTGTGTTGAATATGTATGATCCTAACTGGTTATATTTTGTATCAGTTTTTCCAACATCTTTTCTTACTTCCTCTCTACCATGGCTGCTGTTTACTGTTTTGACTCATATATGTTCATACCGATAATTCTGTTCTTACTGCATATCATTATGATTAAAAACTGCATCATTTGTTGTGAGCCACTGGTTTAATTACCTGACTTTCAGCTAAATGGGTCCTGGATACAAGTCCTGATCCACCTGCTTCAGCCTAGCAAACTGTGTGCTATCATCACCTCTCACACAACAAGTGTAACGTGTTCCCGGCAGTTGAGTTTTTACATTAGCAGAATCATTTATTGTTGAAGTCCAATATTTTATTGTTAGGCTATTCGTACCACTAGGAGCTCAGTAGGGATATATGTGGAAAGCATTCAGGTAAAAATGGACAAAAATAAAGTTTTGGAAGTATGCCTCAAATAATTGTTGCATACTAGATAAATGCATTTGGGTATAAAACGCAGCAATACAGTTTGATTAGTTGATTGACTTTTTGAGAACACTTTCTTGCTCATATTGACTATAATCGTCCCTAAACGATGAGAAGCAATTGTATTCTGAACGTCATCTTTTTAATAATACTGTTTCATTGTGAGCTATTTCTTCAAATGGGCTTATCTGATATGATGAAATTATACCTCCAATTATACTGATGCCTACCACATCACTACCGACTTGAACTGTGTTCATCATCATCATCATCGTCGTACTATTATTATTCATCTAGGTTCCTGGTGGAAAACCGGGCCTCGACGGCATATCGCCATTTCACTGTGTACTCTACAGTCTTTTCTAGCCGACCCCACGATTGCTGCAAAGCTTCCATTTCCTCCTCACACGATCTCCTCCATGCCACATTTAGACGCTCAACTCGTCGTTTACCATCTGCGTTACACTTGATGACCTGGAGAGTGATGTCGCTCAACTGTCTCTTTGGAGTATTTATAATCCATCATCATTTCCCTCCGCATATTCATTGGTTTGTAGGTCCTTGGTCAATTTTTTGCCAGATTTTACTACCTGTTATAGTTTCTGGCCATCTGATTTTCGGCATCGAGCCGAAGCAGGTGTTGGTGAAAATCTATAATGGCCTTTTGAAAATGCATTTGGTGGCGCGCAATCCAATTCTCTGACTTGAAATTAATGTTGGGAATTTGAATCTTGTTCTTTATACTGGTTGCGGTGGACCTCTTCCACTTGCTTTTTCGATCCTGGTTAGCTTTGACGTGCTCATCTATGCCGCCTGTAGTTGAAGCGGTGAGACCTGGATAAATGAAAGAGACAACCGCTTTTAGATTTCCCTCGTTGATGGTGATTGGCACTTGTCGTTGTTGTTCTTGTTTTTGGATGAGTATTTGCATCACTGCTGTCTTCTCCGTGTTCACCTGAAGTTCTGTAATCGCTGTCTCTCCTGCTAATTTGTTGGTTTTCGCTTGAAGCATAAGCCACCATCATCATCTTATTTTTCAGGAGTTCATTTCCAATGTATCTTTATTTAGGAGTGTGTAGATAAACACCTGTACATAGCTGTTGTTAGATCTGTAGCAGTGCATCACTGGTTTAAGCAATCAACTTCCATCCACTGGATCACGGATGGGAGCCCTGCTACATCCCTCCTGAGGTTTAAGCCACCGGACAGTATCATAGGCCCTTCTAAAACAATAAGCGGTGCATTGGCTACTTTACGAAACTGAAAGCGGTTGTAAAGTGACATTTCATTTATTTTAACTGTTTTTGACTAAGCTTCAACGTACAACTTGACACAGAAGCGCAGCAGTTCATGTCGCCACACACCAAGTAGCACACACAAGTAGAGGAGAAATATTCAGTGGAACTTCAATGAACGGAAATTTACAGGTGAAACAATAAGTACACGAAAAGTCATGAGAATTTTGAGGGACATGGGGATTCATAAACAGTGAATGCATCTATGCCATTGAGAAGCATTTTGAGCCATGTCACCAACAGTCTTGAGCTACTGGTTGTTAGTGTTCTGAGAACCAAAGCCAGGCAGTCTACACTGTCCTACATGGCTCAAACTAACAGTGAAAGACCTCATGGACCAATTCCATGTTTTTGTCTGATGGCTCCTGATTCTCTAGAACCTAATGCTATTATCAGTCCATATTGTTCGACAGAGAGTGTGGTTGCTTCTCATACGTAACACATGTCCTAGTCATCTCAATTGATGCAGCGTCAAAACCTCATCAGTTGATTTCCCCTCCTTACCTGACACTCTAAGCCTAACCTCATTGTCACTGACTGCATTATCCTAACTTGTGCGGGAAATAGAACGTTGACCTGTATGACCAAAGACAGCTAACCTCTTTAATCCTTCCACTTTCAGTGGCTATGTTTCACAACCATCAAGAAGAATGGAGTGAACTACTGTTTTTAAATAGGATCATGTTGACATTTAACCAATATAAGCCAATTAAAATGGTTTACGCTTTAAATTTAATGTACTCTGTGTTACTTATGAGTAGTCATTGATGATGTTCAGAGATTATTCCGAGGAACATATACAGAAATCAAGTCTACTGCTATGAATATTCAGTTGAGCGTTTTAAATCATGAATTTCACCTTCAGATGTCTAATTTCAGATGGGGGAAGTCATTTCTTTCACTTATCTCAGCAGCAGCGATTTGACTACAGGTGCCATCATTGAGGATGTCAAAACCGTAATAGAAAAGGCAAGACAAAACTACATCATTTTCCAAATCTTCTGCATTCAGTAATCATAAACAACAAAATTTTGATTTTCAACATCAATGTTAAGTCGGTCAATGCTTCTATATGGATCAAAAACGTGACCTGCGCGTCACGAAATGCATTTCCAACAGTCAAGTTCTGACTTTTATCAACAGTTATCCTCTCTTCTTACTCAAAATCAGATGACTGACTAGAAAGAATTAGCAACTAGAAACTCTGGAAACAGACCAGTCAAGTACCTATCGCTGAACAATAACGTCGGAGAAAATGGAGATGTGACGGACACAGACTTAGGAGACCGTTGGGTGACATCGCGTGTCAGGCTCTCAGGTAGAACCCAAGTGGCAAACCACTAGTTGGGCATCTGCTGGGGATATGGATATCGTGTGAGACAATCATGGGGCCAGATGAAGAGGACTGCAGAGAACTGGGTGAAATGGAGACGTGTTGTTGAAACCCGGTGTTACACTCAGAACCCAAGGGAATAATAATAATAAAGCAAATCATTGAAAGAAAAGATATTATGCATATTATATTTTGGCTAAGATGAAATCTTTTTAAATGTGTGTGTGTATAATTATCGTCTCTGCAGGATATAATTAAGTTAGACATATAGTTTCACAGGGATTACACCATATTGTAAAGTTAGCAATTAAGTGTAATGTTAATAGTTATATCAGAACTAGAAAATGAAACGCTTTAGCATAGGTCTTCTTTTCTAGAACTATCGAAAACTTGCTAGCTACAATAAGGTAGATCTTGAGGTATATCACCGGAATCCAACTACACTTATTGTCTTTGAAGAGTGGACCTACTTACTGCTTCGTTTCAAATCTTAAGAAGAAATCTATTCAAAGGAGATGACTTAGTGGTCTTGTCAATTCTTATTGTCATAACAGTGAATAAACCTTTCCGCATCTAAAAAAGCGAAACAATGAGTAGTCTTTACTGATGACATTCAATGAAGAATTCATAAGACAAATCATATACTGATGGCTTTGTGTTCTACAAAAATGCATGACGCAGCATGAGGAATAATCTAGAAGGCAATATACAGGTGGGGAAGTTAAAAAACGGAATTTATTATTGCGTAATAGGTGTATAAATGACCTTACCACCAGTCAAGTTTTCAAAGGAAATCTGTTTAAAAAATGCGGAGTTATTAATAAAGGACAATAATAATAATAGTAATAATAATAATAAACTGAATTGGCAGAAGTTAGAATTCATCGGCCATTGGATGAAGTCTCAGTGGCTTAATGGTCTACGAGCTCGCTCACCTTGTAACCAAAAGGCCCTGGGTTCAAACCCCGGTAGATGCGTACCGATGAAGAGTTCCAAACTAGTGGGACGAAACAGTTGTCCAGTACTTCCAGGCTTTCCAATGGTTCTCTAACCGATGTCATCTCATGATGATATCCCCCAACCAATAAACAAAATATCAAATAACAAAAGGAAACAGAGTTATGACAGCGATCTTATCCTGATCATGATAAGGCAAGTGACTGCATGCGTATTGCTGTTGAACACATAAATCAGATATTTAAGGTCCCGAATAACCAGTGATTTGGCTATGCATTATAAACTTCATATTCGAAGGCCCCTCGTGCTATATTGGAGAACAGTGTGGGTCACTGTAAAGTAGTTATAGAAAGCTACCCCATGTCTAGAGTTGATAAGGTAATCATGAATAGGATTATTGATAATCTTCTCCTCTCACTAGACAGTGTTCCAAAATACACTTACAGATTTGACTCTACATATGGCTGATATGCTTTGTTCTACAAGAACAAGTAAATTGATAAATACACCAATTATGTCACCAGAAGCCGTATCATGGTCATAATGCATCAATGGATTAACTATTTGTTGGATAATGTGATTCTCAAGATGACTTCACGAAATATCTTTCTTAGATATCTGAAAAGGTAGTTTTTAAGAATTTTAACTTCAGTATCACTTTTGAACTCCAGGTTCGTGAAGAGAGCTTTCCCAATGCCAGTTTTGGTGTTCGATGCGGTCAATAAATCCGAGCGAATATCCGCTTTCTATGAGGTGACGCTTGGACATTTCAATTAAATCTATACAACTACTTCCAAACGGATCTTTTACATGCTTGACAGTAATGAACATACTAGGCTATGCTTTCTGGACAGTGAGGTGGAAGTTAATAAACTGACCAGTCCATATCAGTCATCATTATATTGACCTCTGGATAGAGTATTTAAGTACCCCTTCAAGCAATGAAAATAAAACTATGGTTTTAATGAATACTAAGTTGAATATAATCACAGTTTTTTAAAAGGATTCCTCGAAAAGAAAATCTACAACTTAACAACAGTATTTGGGCATTTCGGTGGAGTATAAATTCCGTAATAGAATAATTTTATTTGATAAAGTCCCTTATTTATTATCCTTTTATTTTGATGGTATTGGCACAGCATCATTCCTATTCAGTGATCTATCACCTCCTCCACCTGATTCGATTGCATTTTAGAACTGTAGCTCTTTGTCCAGTTTTCAACATTTCATGGCAAAATATATTGGCAAAGAAAAAGGGTAGCAATGGGATGACCAAGATCCCCCCCCTGAATCGTAACAGATATTTTTTATGGGTGGTTGGGGAAAATATCGCTCTCAAAACATATAATCCTACCCAGATTATATGCTGAAGATTTATGGATGATACTTTCATTGTGTTCAAAAGCAAAACATATCTCTAATTTCTTCACAAGGGAATAAACTGGACAAGGAGAACTAACTATTGACTATAATATGAATAAAAAGGTGTTTGAGATGCTCGCAGTGTTGCTATATAAGGAGAAGGCGTCCGAAACTCTACGTGGGATTCTTAATAAAGCAGGAATTGTGGCTGTATTGATGCCCACAAATTCATTCAGAGACAAGCTATGTGGGCTAAAAGACGCTGTTGATCCAACTAGACAAAATAAGGTAATTTACAAAATACCTTGTAATGACTGTAAGGTCAACTGTAAAGGTTATTCCAATAAAGCAGGGACAATTTGGTTATCAGAATATAAGAATGATTGACCCCAGAAGGATGACTAGCTAAGGGAAGAACTCAGGAATTTAAGTATTGGTTTGTAGGGATTTGACTGATTGGTTACAGGATTTCATCATGAGCTGACATCGGTTAGAGAACCACTGGAAAATCTGGGAGTATTGGACAGCTTTTTCGTCAGCCTAGTTTGGGACTGTTTAGCAGTACTCACCCACCGGAGTTCGAACACAGGACTTTCTGGTTACAAGGTGAGTTAACTCGTAGACCATTAAGCCACTGGGACCCGATCCAATGGCCAGCCCGTGAATTCTAACTTCTGCCAATTCATGACATAACGCGACCGGACAAATACTCGCCGGAAACATTGGCTAGTGGTCGTGGATCGGCAGAAGTTAGAATTCATGGGCTGGCCTTTGGACTGGGTCCCAGTTGCTTAATGGTCTACCGGCTCACCTTGTAACCAGAAGGTCGTTGATTCGAACATCGGTGGGTGCACACTGTTGAAGAGTCGCAAACTAGGATGGAGGAAACAGCCATCCAGTACTCCCTGGCTGGTCTTCCAATAGTCATCTAACTGATGTCAGCTCATGATGAAATCTTGTATCTCAGGAATTGTAATGCGTACACTGACACTCGATCCATCACATAATGGGGTGGCACACGGCTACACTCCTAAAGTGTAATATAATTAGATGGAGGTAGTGGTTGATCACTGAATCTTTGTTCATGATCGAATCAAAACCCAACACGTGCAATAGGAATGATGTAGCTATCAAAAGCAGAAATATTAAAAAAAAGAATATTATTACCAATAAAATGAAAGGATAGTAAAGAATGGAAGTAAATAAGCGGAATCTGAAAGTTATGCGAGCACCCTGATATGACTATGAGCAATAAATTGAGCTTGAAATGTCATCAGTAAGTAAATCATACTGTATCACTGCAAGTTTTAATCAAATAAAAACTTTTTCTGTTATGAAAAGAAAATCTTCTGTTACATTTTCGGTCTTATGACTCCCCGTAGGAATTTTCTGTTTATTATTAAGTCGTCAAAATGAAACTTGTCCGTTGATTATTCCTAAGACGTAAAAAACGAGTGTAGGAATTCACTACTTGACCTTACAAATGTGTGAGTATTGAGCTAGAAATATTTCGGTTTCTTTATATCCGTTGGCTTTGTTGTAATACTCAAGGGCTGGTTTGTGAGGATTTAATTTATTTTTCAAACCTGATTATGGATTGGAATCAGTAAGGGAACTACTGAAAACCTAAGGAAGTACTGGGCGGCTGTTTCGTTCTGGTTTGGGACTCACCGGCAGTAGTACGCACCCACTAGGTTTCTAGCCTCGGGATCTTCCAGTTGTAATACTTTTCTCTCCCTCGCTCTCTCATCCTGTGGTTATATTATTTGTGAACAGGGAAGTCAATTAGTCTCTTCAAGTCACTGGCTTAAGCAGTTGACTTCCCCAGTCTATATGTCCCGAGTTCGAATCCCGTTCCTCTTACATCAGTGTGGGCGGCTGGATATATTAACTTCAACCTTCACACTATCAAATATGGCTCATAGTTTTTAAAGTCAATATCATAATAGTAACAATAAAATCTGTTCTACTCTTCATTTTAATTCCCTCTTCTTTCTTTTGTGTTTCTGTATACTTTAGTAAGTGTTTTTTTGTTTTACAAAATTATTCATGAATAATCCCCATCCAGAGACATTGATGAAAACAAAACACGCAGCTCAGAGAAGAGGCTCTTTTTTGGGAAAATTCTTTTTACCTCTTTAGCTGTACAGTAGAATTTATAAACAATTTTCTTCTTATAAATGAGGGTAGTAACAAAAGTAATGAGTTGCCGCAATCATAATTGTTAACATTAGTCAATGCATAAGAGGAGTTGAGTTAGATTATTTATTAGAATTACGTGATAAGATGAACGATTTAATGAATGTGATGTGATCAGGAAGCACATAAAAACGAAGGAAAATATGCAATTATGTATGAGTTCTAAAGAAATACAAGAGTTATAAGGAGTGAGAGAAAGCAAACAGATACAAACAAAAATCAAGTCAGCAGAAGTCGAAAAGATCGTTAACATGATACTAGAAATGATTGAATACTTTTCTTTTGTGTGCATAGCTTCGGTTAATCTAACTGAAGAATGGTTAAAGCTTCAGCAGTACAAAGGAGGCGAAAGCTTGTTGCCTGTAGTAGGTTGTTCTTCACTTTGTAGATTACTTTGAAGTGGGGCGTTTGTTGAGATGAAGTGATCAGTGTGGACAAGGGGGTTCAATTATCGCAATCTTTATACAGCCAATCCTGCCTTTCTGCAACCATGCGGGACAGTGTTCTTGAACCCTTTTAGACAGCATACATGTCGAACGACCAATATACCTGGCTCCACGACAACAGATGAACTAATATATAGACACAGAACTGGTTAGATGCGACGTCTTGTCCTTAAGGCTTCCTCAAATCAATAGACTACTGGAGAACACTACTCTTAATGTTATTGTGAAGAATGTTCTCAACGAAAATGGAATTTTTCTCTTAAGAATACAGCAGGTTAAGTCTCCCCTGAAATCCACATTCATTTAAAGCCTCTCTTTTGAAACAGGTAATGTTTTGTTTCTCTGAACCTTTGGTTTGATATTTCTGTTTTAAAAATTACTCAATTTGCTTCATTTTCTTTTTCTTTTTGTGGTTAATTTTTAGTATAAAGACATGATATGGAATCAAAAATCATTGTTATTGAAAGGGAATCTACACGCTGATATTGGTGAAGTAAGTTATATGTAGACTTTCTATATTTTGACTAAGTTGTGTTTATAAAACACAAAATAATTGAGCAAAGAATATTCTTTTCGATAATTTCCTCTTCTGCCTCTACAATTATACATATGTTTATGTACATAAAATATTCTAGATTAGTAGTCAGTAACAATATTACTGTTTTTTAAATAATATCGATTTGTAGAGTAAGACCGATGGAATCACAGTCCATTAAAGATGCTTAAATTATAATAATAATAAAGATATAGTAGCAAATAGAATATCAAGTAAAATTATGAAAATTTCACAAAAATTGAGGATCATTCAAACCTAGATGGCTAAGGTAATGATAGTGTTTGAACTAACTTCCTTTGGATGCATACTTTAGGCTTATTAATATGGATCCCCATAGCCTCAGCAATATTTAGTAGTCGAACTCTTAAGGCGAAATTGAGGTTCGTAGGTATGCGGTAAATTACCCTGAAAGCCCCGTTGACATGAATCTTGTGTTCTGTATCCACAAGATGAGATAGAACAACGCTGCGAATAGATTTTGTTTATCCTTTACTCAACCACTATGCAAGGTGATGTTGGGAAATCTGACGAGAAACACGCCTAATTGTACGGCCTATGTGACTGGCTCACTACACAGGAGCAGTTAAATGGAAGGAAGAGGTGAAATTATGCAGTTAGTCTTTGACTCCCGAACTCAAGAGGGAAGTGCTTTTGAAGACACAGCGTAATTCAGCAGCAGTGTTTGTTGAGCTGGTTGATTTAATTGGGAAGGTTTCGTTGTCCTGTGTAGACAACATCTTCAGCGCAAGCTTATTTGAATTCTCCATGAATGATATGGTCGTATCACCTGACGACCATTTTTGTGATTGGTTGTCAATTTACGTCCCTATTGATCATTTTTATTTACTTGGAATTTGAACTTTCTTGTCATATGGTTTATTTTTTATCAGTTGGTAAATTTGATCTATAATAATGTGTTTGTTAATCGCTGGCTGATTCACTTGAGTACCAGGATTCTAGGGATTCCCTGGCATTTTGGTGTTTCTTCTCTTTAAAATTTCGACATTACCCCAATCAAGCTGGTGTCCATAATTATCTACATGCATTGATATGAAAGAATATATATATATATATCATGTCTTTTTACAGCTGATTTGTGTTCCTGGATTCTAATTCGAAGGGGACGCCTACTTTGACCAATGTAGTGTTTATCGCATTTCATGCAATTTATTTTGTAAATGGTATTGATCTTACATTTAATTTGTGGATGGTGACTAGCAGTGGAATCCAGGATGCGCATTTTGTCCTATTTGGGACTCGTCAGCTGGATGTACCTGCAATCCCCAGTGAATGATGATGTCCCCTTCGAGGCTCGAACCCAGTGCCCATCGTTTCAAACGCCAAATCGTTATCCACTAGACCACTTGGGTCACGAGAGCCACCTCTTGTGCAACGAGTCATATTAATTTAATTGAATTTTAGATTTTCCCGTCGATTGATTTGACTGAAGTGCTCAGTCTGCACAATATTAAATGAAGTGATTGTATTTACTTGTGTGTTATGTCTATTTCAAATGGTTTTAATATTCTAGCCGTTATTACAGAGATATTCTTTATAAATGATAGGATAGATTTTTTGTAGTTTTTCACGATGGTTTCTTGTTGGTATTTCGATTTGAGTTTAAACACTTTTTTGAAGAAATTGTATAGGTATTCATTCTTCTTGAAGACAGTTAGTAGATATTTCTCTTCTGATCACTGAAAATACCGATTGAGTCATGAAGAAAATAAAAGACAAATTCAGCGAAGAAAATTTTCTCTATCGACGAAATCATCTTCACAGGCTATACAGTCATATTTATATTTACCAAAAATGTATAGTAGTCCATTACTTAGTAATAGGGGTTGTGTGTGTGACGTAATTGATATAATTATTCAGAATTGGCTATAGAAGTAAAAATTAAAGTTGTAAATTACGTAGTACTCAGTGGCACAAAGGAAGGAAGCGTTAGAAATTTGATAAGGTTAAAATTGTTAGTGAGTGAGAATAAAGGTAGTTGAGTGTCAGTTTAACAAGTGTGAAGAGGGAACGTATGAGAGTGATGAATAGTGAATTAATTATTAAAGTAAAAGCAAACTAAAAGTAAAATTGGAAATTAAAAACAAACTAGCGGATAACGCTTTGGCATTTGGAACGATGGGCACTGGGTTCGAGTCTTAGTGGGAAAACCATCACTCACTGGGGAATGCAGGTACACCTTGATGACGAGTCCGAAATAGGACGAAATGAGCACACTGGATCCTACCATTGGTAGTCACCATCCACGAAATCTACCCAAATCGCTTGAAAAACAATCCAACTTTGAAACCTCAGTGAACGCTGATGGTAGCCTACCAGTGTATTACTGATATGAATCATGAGATTAATGTCGGTTTGGTTTACAAGGCGAATAATAAAATATTCTGAGGCCATCATCATCCCCCGTAAACGATCTTGTTCGGCTAAGAGTGGGTAGATTTTGGCCTTCCTGTCGAAATGCTCTCATGGGGCCACGCCTGTACAGCCTCTACCAGGCGATTCTTATTCACCTCCTTCAGGCGTCGGGGGAGGAGGATGGTGTTCCTCATAAACGCCAAATGCGAATGTCTGGCCCATACAACCGGACTGGTGTACATGTTGGTCTACCATGGAAAGCTGGAAAAACCCGATTCCAAAATTATGGTGTACATTGGCTCCAGAATCCGAAAGCACCAAGTGGCGCCGTCTAAATTTATTAAAGGGATTAATTGTATTATAAAATTCAATCATTCATTTTTCCTCATGCTTCTCTGCGGAATTTCTTTTACTAGTGCGTCAAAGTTAATCGACAGGAAACCCGGTATCCTCATCCTTCAGCACTGAAGTTAGTTATTGGTGTTTTGTGTTCTCTAAGCTTAAGGGTCTGTAGTTGCGAAGTCTATATTGTCCTTCTGGAAAACGCATCCAGGGCTAGCTCCATAAATAAATTCGTTGTCTCCCATCTTCATTGTTATTTCCTATTCCTCTAGAGTTTCTTTAGATTGTATCCATTTGTACTGATATTGATTCTCTCACAGAGAAGATCGTCAGGGGGAGATAAACTTTAATCAGTGGAGAATTCCCAAAGCTCAATTTACTTCGAAGTTATCTCTGAAGATGCTTCCCAGAACTAAACCTCAACACCAAAAACATTCACTTGTGCCAGAAATATTCTCAATTATTTCGAAGTCACTTATCCAGATCGCGAGTCATTCTATGCCTATATTTATTTTTTATTTATTTATTAATTTATTAGTAACAGATAAATTTAAGGTAAATTGGTGTAAGCTGTCAACAGCCTAGGATATTCTTCAAGTGTTAGCGTTTAGGGATCTGATTCGTACCAGTTAAAGAACCACTGACAACCAAGAAGTACTGGAGAGCTATTTCGTCCGTGATCAGACTTGAAATCAATCAAATCCCTAAAAAAAGCCACTGATTGACTACCTGGGTATCTAGCGAGAAATCGTGACCAGTGGCGTGAGGGCAAATACTTGACGACGATGATATTGGATGGCGGCGGCGCTAAATATCACAAATCCATGGAAGTTAGAATCCATAGACCCTTGGATCTAGTCTCAGTGGCTGTGAATAGTCAATGAGCTTGCTTCATAACCTGAAAGTCTTTGGTTCGATTTCCGGTGGAGTCATGGGTATGGACGGATGAAGAGTCCAAAATTAGAACGAAAAAGCTGTCCAATAATCCCTAGTTTTCGATAGTTGTCTACATGTGATGCTAATAAGTGATCAAACTTGAAAAGATATTCTTTAAAATTTCAGTTTAATATCTCCGTTTTGCGTATACATCTTAGTTGTTCTTATTAGCTTCAAGTTTCTGTCTCAACTGTAACTACTATATTCATCATAATACTTGTATAGGTTAAACTGTCTTTTTGAATTATGCCTTCATTTATTTCTGATTTTTTAGGTAACAGTTTTTATTTTTCCTGAACTTTTGGTTGTAACAACAAGTATGCGACCTGAAGTACATAATAACAATAATAATAATAACAATCGACCAACATCACATTTCTTCTATAGTAATTCTCCACGTCAAAATAGAAATTCCAGTGCTACTTCTATTCCTAATAACTCTCCATTTGGAAGTATCGCTCCACTACCGCTACCGCTAGCACCACCACCACCACCCTATCAGGTATCCTTTACTCAACCTAAATTTGGACATCATCGATGGTCTTTACTTCCATCGTTGAAATCACATCTTCCGCCTGATTTAGATAATGTTCAAACTGCACCAATCAGGGCATCTAGTCAACCGTCGAAATTTACACGATTGTTCAGACGTTTATCATCGATTATTGCATTATCATCATCAACATCGTCATCATCAACATCACCATCACCACCGGGGACTGTATCTACAACAGTTGTACAACCGGAAATCATTAAAGATATAACACCGACAAGATTATCAAATTTTTTCTCTTCAGAAGATTATACAGTATGCCTTGAACGTTATCGTATCTGTTTTCCGCCTTTAATATTAAAAGATTATATTTTAGAAGATATGAGCGATGATGATAATCGGTCGAGTATATTGAAGTTACCTTTCTCTTTCGAGAAATCTCGTAAGTTTTGTTTTCTATATATGCGTGTATATTACAGAGAAAATAATATAATGTATTATGCCTTTATTTTTAAATTACCATCTCACTTATTATGCCTTCAGCACAGTTTCCCTTGGAAACCAACATCAAAATCACCCACTTGATCCACTTAAACAAAATCATGTTGTAAAACAACACATTATCAATGTATGGCATAATCATCATGAAGAGAAGCGTTAAAATTAGAGGCTGATCAGGAACATAGACAAATAATAAGGACTGAGTCAGTAGATGATATTTTAATGTCAGAACAGTGGTATTATATAGCATGGAGTTGAAAGGATATTAATTATAGAGTTAGTTGAGTCATTCAAATAAGTATCAGTATTGTGATAAGACTTAGGACTCTGCAAGAACTGATGAGGAATCATGCTCCTGTCGACGCCAAGTAAAATCCTGAGTAGCATCATCCTAGAGAGAATAAAGGATGCACTGGATACAGAACTCCGACCAGAACAAGCTGGATTCAGCAAAGGAAAATCATGTTCTGACCAAATTGCAACTCTACGCATTATCATCGAACAAAGCATGGAATGGCAATCAAACCTCTACCTCAACTTTATAACCTTCGACAGCGTTGACCGCGAAGTAATTTGGAGACTACTCGAGTACTACGGCGTACCCCAAATATTCATCAACCTTATTCAACAGCTGTACGACAACGGCACATGTCAAGTGATCCACAACGGAAAACTCAGTGAGGCGTTCGGAGTAAACACAGGAGTCAGACAAGGGTCTTATTATCACCAATGATATTCCTAATTGTGGTGGACTGGATTATGCGTAAGACAGTGGGAAACGAGAAGACAGGGATATCCTGGACCGACGTGAAGAACCTAGAAGACCTGGATTTCGCGCGTGGATGATTTATGTTTGATGTCACACAAAATCGAAGACTTACAAGCGAAAACCGACAAACTGGTCGAAGAAGTAGCAAAGACAGGACTCCAGGTGAACATAGACAAGACGGAGGTTATGAAAATAACCAACCAACAACAACAACAGCAGCAGCATACGTACAGCGCCAATCACCATCAACGGGACGGATTTGAAAGAGGTTACTTCATTCACTTATCTATGGAGCATTGCCTCAACTACAGGAGGAACGGACGAGGATGTCAAATCAAGAATTGGGAAGGCGAGAAACACATTCATCAACCTGAAACCAATCTGGAAAACTTCGTCACTCAGCATCAACAACAAAATTCGGATTTTCAATACAAACGTCAAGTCAGTCAGTTCTATACGGATGGATCAGAAACTTGGCGGGTCACAAAGAATATTTCCAACAGCCTGTTGCAGACCTTTATCAACAACTGTCTTCGTTCCATACTGAAGATCAGATGGGCGGAAAGAATCACCAACAAGAAACTATGGGAAGAAACAAAACAAGAATCAATCGCTCAACAAATATGCAGGAGAAAGTGGAGATGGATTGGACACTCGCTGAGGAGGCCACTGAGTGACATCGCGCGTCAGGCCAACGCTCGAGTGGAACCCGAAAGGGAAGCGGCGAGTGGGACGTCGAAGGGTGACATGGATGAGATCGTGTGAAGAGGAGTTGAAACAGTATGGATTAACATGGACACAGGTGAAAAGTACAGCAGAAGTCAGAAGCGAGTGGAGACGTGTAGTTGAAGCCCTATGTTCCACTAGGAACCCAAGGGAACAATAATAATAATACAATAAGATTGTGATGAGATAGTTCATGAGGGGTTTTTCGAACAATTATTCCGTTACAAAACAACAAACTATCCAGCTCGGAGAATATTACATCACTTGAGCTACTCCACTATTTTTTTTCTTAATTACTCACTCATTAAAAAGGTATGTTTAGAAGAGTTTTGTAAGAAGTATAAATTCAGTGAACGAAATATTCCCATATATTGAGTCACAAGAAAAAGACGTAAACAGAAGAGATAATTTTCCTTTTGAAAAAGTTCATTTTCATAGGCTGCTGTACAATCGTAATTATATTTGAAAGAAGAGAACACAAAGTTCAGCAAAGATATCTGTCTTTTCGGCGATTTCATTTTCAAAAGCTGTACTATCGCATTTAAATACATAATTTTACATAGACACAATTTTTTTTACTTGATTCCACATAATTACGAAGGCGAACAAAAGGTGACAATTATTTTTAACTAGATGATATGGTTTACAAGAGGCTTAGAAACAAAATTACACAGGATTAGAACGAATTACAGGTGTATAGAAAATGAGCATTGAAACAAATTGAAATGATAATTTTTAACTTGAAATTGAAGTTAGGAGGTGTGAATATAGATTACGAGAGCTTTAGAAACACAAAAATTGCAATAGGTTAAGATATAATTGTAAAATAGTTATTTTAAACGAACTGTAAGTGTAAGCAGGAAAAGCATGGAAACAAACTTAAAATAACTGTTCTTATAACTGAAAAAATGGGGTTGATCTAATAAAGACAGAGAGAATAAGAATTACACACACAGAGAACGAAGAAAAGATCCATAAAAAGATCAAAAAAGAACGAAAGAAAGAAAAAAGGAGGCTAAGGGGACACACCGAACTAGATCTGTGGTAGTTGTAGAGGTAAAACTAATTTCTTTTAAACACACAGCTCCGGCTTTTCGATGCATATTGCGAGGGCTTCTACGGTATTTACAGAAGTCGGAAACATACTGCTTTTGTTAGGTTTCTGTTGATTTTGTAAATTACTTTGAATGAATCAGTTGAGATGTTGTGGGAGGTGTTGATCAAATGTTCAATAATGGCACTTCTAATTGAACCGATGCCTCCTCTTTGCAGCCACGCTGGGTAATGTTCTTTACCACGTTTTGAAAGGACGCGCATACAACGACCTATATACCTAGTTCCCCACGAGCAGGTGAACTGGTATATATACTTAACAAAGAAGTCATAAGACCAATCAGATATTGGTAAACTTTGTCCTCGAAAATCGAGTTACGTAATGTAAGTTATAACCTAGAAGGGGTGATTAATTCGAAGTTAGAAATGAGACAGAAGTTGGCCTCACGTAATAAGTGTGAGAAAATGACTGACCAATATGATTGTATAGGATGGACAGGAACTATTGGAAAGACGACGAAGTGTTCTTATAAAATCTGTACGAAAACTCGCTGTTATTAATAAACAGTAATAAAGCGATAATAAAATATGAATGATGAGAATAATAATGCTAATAAAATAATAATAATAACAATAGTAATAGAAAACCTACATAATAATAAAGCAGAATTATAGTAAAAACGTTACTCTGGCCACTGTAGGGCGAGTGAATGTATGTAGTGCTTTTGAATGCAGAGGTCTAGTTTCAGATCCCGAATAGACAATGATTCAGCTATGTACAGATGGCGTATGCGAAGTCCCTTTGTACGATATTCAGGGACTCTGTGTAACACTGTGAAGCATTCATGTGGGGGTGCTCGATGTCCAGAGATGACAAGGTGTTCGAGGATCAAGCTGTTGCTATTCTTCTCTTCTCCTCTGGATAACCAAGCTGGGCAGTGTTCCAGAATACGTTTGTCGACTTGACGTTACGTACGGCCGATATACTTTGTGCCACACGACGAACTAAATTGATAAATACACATTGAGGTGGCCAAAAGCGGTACCTTATCCTTAACGTTAAACTGGATTAACTGTCTGCTAAAGAATGTGATACGTAAGGTGGCTGGTTGAAATGTCTTCTTCAGACATTTAAAAAGACGGTTTCTAAGAATTTCTGCTGCGATGTCACCTTTGAATTCCAGGTTCATGAAGAGAGTTTTCTTAGGGACAGTTGTGATTTTTGGCGACGGAGGCTTTTCTTTCATGTTTTTGTCTATGAATCTTGGTGGTTACCCGTTCTATAGTAGGGTTTCACGTAATAAATTTAATTCTTTCTCTATCATGTCTTCCGAACAGATTGTTGAACTTAATGTACGTAGTAGGTTTTTGCTTTCGGATCAAATATGTCAGTGTTAATAATCCGTGGGAAAGTTCTTCATGCTATTTCAGTTTAAAAGTGTTACATTGTTGCTATTTTTTTAAATAGTGCAATACTGATACATACTATTGTTCAATGAACGTGAAGTTTAGTTTTATACACCTAGATTTTATATGCAACTATAGTAAACGGGTCGAATAATGACCTAGAACAACAGATAGAATTAAGGGAATATTAGAAGTGGTAAATCAGTCAAGTTAAATCATGACTACTGTTCATCTGTTACTCTGTCAATTTGCTTCCTATCTAGTTGTGTGTAAATAATAGTGTAAATGAATGTGCTGTCTGTGCAGGTGCAATGTCAGTTAAACAATATAACCATCCAATCGATAGGTATGGTTACATATTCAGTAGTTACACTGGGAGGAAGTCTGTTTAAGATGGTACTTCGAAACTATGGCTATCGAATATATCTTAATTTCTTATGCACAATCGGGTGTTGTAGAGACTTGTTAGGTCTGTCTACAGATACCGACACAGAAAATAACTTCGTGTCAACCGTATATTGGTTAGATTAGCACTGCAGAGACTTGATGCTATTCTTACACAAAACGTGAGAAAATAATATCCGGCATAGAATTATACATGTTTTCAGAACGAACTAACCCGAACAACCTATTACTGAACAAATATGCCGAAAAAAATGGAGATAAATTGGGCACACGCTTAGGAGACTGTCGAATGAAATCCCATCGTCGAGTGGTAACCGACTGTGCAATGACGACTGGGATATCCATGGGTGACATACAGGAGATGAGAGAGACTACGACCAATTGTGCAGGAAGCTGAAGGGGACATCAAAGAATAGGGCTAACTGGAGATGTACTGTTTAACCCCCCTCCCTATGTTCCACTCGACTGAGTCTATTAACAAATTTACCACTTTTAACGTTACTTTACTCCTTAACATTGCCTGTATATACTAACAGTCTAGCCTGCAATTGTGTATTCGGTATTCCTATATTGTATATTGATCTCTTCTCTCTTTTTTTAATTCCAGGACGTAATTTATTCAGATTATATCCATATAGTGAATTTTGCAAACGACGATCTGTAAAACATGTCATAAAAGAAATAAATTCACTACAACATTCAAATCAACGTCATTTATCTACTGTAAATTGTCAAACAAAACGGCCTACAACTTGGTCATCTTCATCAATGAATACTGGTAAAACACCACCACCAACAACAACAACAACAACTACAAATAATTCTGCTTTTAAGAAAGCTACTCTACTATTCTCAGCAAAATATGTTAAAATCAAATCAAAAGAGTACTTATTTCAAGCATCTAGTTTAGAGGATAAATTATTTTGGATATCCACGCTATCACCACTTGTTCATAGTGTTTTAAAAACAAATCATACAAATACTACCTGTCACTTATGATTATTAATTGTGTTTATTTTATTTTTTCTGTTTGTTTGCATATTTATTTGTGAATGACCTCTTTATCAACTTTTTTTGTTCACCTTACAGGGTAAGTAAGTAAGTAAGTAATCTTTTTCTCTTACATATATGAGTCTTCTGTGATGTGTCCTCGACTTGCTTCTTTTCAACAGTATCCTCCTCCTCGTCATCGACATCATTTTCTATCTTCTGCCTTGAAGGTAGTGCAGAATACAAACTGGCAAAAAGTTGTCTTTATTTTATCTATGTACATGTATGTATATATGATAGATTTTACTTTTTTTTTACTGTCTACTATATACTACTTATATACTTATAATGATGTGTGGACAATGAAATACAAGTGCAATTTGTTTAATAACAACTAATTTACCATCTAACTAATTAGTTAACTTATGAACTAACTGTGTCTATCCTCATGTGTGTTATGTACTACTCTCAGTATTGTTTCACTTTTTGGAGTCATTCAATCAATGAAGGGTATTCATTCATTACAGTAATAATTATTCAATTAATTAGCAAATTTTTTTTGTTTTCTTCTTTATTTTTTGTTTTGTTTTTGTAATTATATCTAATTTAATCATCACTAGTCTTTCATGTATATGTATGATTTTTGAAGAGCCATATCAGATAAATAATGTGTTGATTGGTAGTCATTATATACGGAATAAGTATCCACTGCTTCTAATAAGCAGTATATGTTATTACTATATATGTGATTATGATTATCTATTGACACTCTTATTTACTTGTATTTTTTTTGTTTACCAATGCAAATAGTGTTAAATCAAGGTATAATATCAGATCTGTAGTTAATCAGATCAGAATTACGTAATCTTTTATCTGGAATGTCACATCTATGTCTGTTTTTTTGGAAATGAAAAAGGCATCAAATATGCAAGATTAAAAATCTGACTAGTATTCAGTCATTGTGATATCTCTGTCTTAAATATTAGTAATAATAATGATTATAATAACTGCTATTAATAGCAATGTAATTAGTATTCTCTCGCCCACCCCACCCCGCCTTAATTGCACTTTGGATGGGGACGGGGGGAAATTTTTTACTTTGACACATAATGCATTTGCTTTACTCTCCTTCTTTCCATCTCTTCTCTCCGTCTTCTTTTCCGGCCTTTTTTCGGCTTTCAGCGTTATTTTCTACTTCTTATCCCGTGACTTTGATATCCACATATTGGATATTATGGTAATTGGCACAAAATAACTATCAGCATCATTCATTGCCTGATAGGCAGTTTGCATTTGTCTCCCTTTGTATGTTTGTGTTTGTGTGTGGCGCCCGTGTACAAAGTTAGAGAGCTGTAATCTTATTTTCACTACTTATTATATAGATTATTATTGGCATTCCTCTTAGTCTTTCTCGTTTTTCTTCTCCTCCAGAAGCGAATTTCCATCACTGATTGTTTTGCAGAAAGATTTTTCTTCTTCTTGAGTCTCACATTTTTTTTGGTTGCATTTCCTGAAATATACCTTCATCATTTCACATCTGTTCATCACTTTCCTGTCCTTCTTCTTCTCCTTTTTTTGTTGTCATCGGGTTGACGATTATGTGTCAAGATTTCAGAATAAATATCTTGTATTACTATTAGTTTGCTTTTGGTTTTTTTAAACAAATATATTTGTATTTTATTGATTTTATTCTTTTAAATTATTGAATGTTGTGTACAAGTGTGTGTGTTTGTGTGTGCCCAAGAGAGAGAGAGAGACAGCTTAGCAGTGTGTAATAAACGCCACTATTTTTAATTTTCAAGTACTGGTCTATGAGCTCGCCTTGTAACCAGAAGGTTCTGGGTTCGAACCCCGGCGGGTGCGTGCTGATGAAGAGTCTCAAAGTGGGACGAAACAGCCTTCTAGTACTCCCTGGCTGTTTTTCCAGTGGTTCTCTAACTGATGTCAGATCATGACGAAATCCTCCAACCAATCATTTTTTCAAGTTTGATTACGGATTGATATCAGTTACAGAGCCATTAAACACCACCAAGGTGTACTAAACAGCTTTTTCGTCCTTGTTTGTGGCTCTTCGGTAAACCGGGGTTCAAACTCAAAGCCTTCCGGTTACAAGACGAGCTGGTATAGGATGTAGCCATTGAGACCCGACTCAATGACCCATGAATTCCACCTTCTACCATTGCTCTCCAAGTCAGGCATGATGACAAATACTCATCGATGACAGCTGGCGGTCGAGCTAGAATCACAAATTGATAGAAGTTAGAATTCACTGAGCATTAGATATTGTCCATTCTGTGACTGAATGGTCTGCGAGCTTGGCTTTTAACCAGAAGTTCCTGGGTTGGAAACTCGGTTTATGCATACCGATAAAGAGTCCCAAACTAGGGGGAAACAGCTGTTTAGTAGTACTCCCTGGTTTTGCAACTGATGTTGGCTGGTGATTAAACTTGGAACAAATCACAGACCCTATAAATTAACTCTTGAAAACAATTATTTTTGACTTCAAGATTGATTGTAAATTGGCTTTAGTTAATGAACTGTTGAAATCAGGGAGTTTCGTCTCTTTTTGGAACTCTTCATCAATACACGCCTATGCTTCCATCACCAGTAATCGAAGCCAGGACCTTCTGGTTACAAGGCGGGTTTGTTGACCTTTGAGCGACTGGGACGGAACCAAATCGTTCATCGGTTCTAATTTATGCCAATTCACGACACATAGCATAATCACTAGGTAATATCATCGGCGAGTATTTGTAATCGGATCCAATTTGGTGGATCCTACTGATAATGACTTTCCATTAGAACTTCAGGCAACTTCATCCCCTAGTCAGTTACTAGTGAGTTCTAGTTTAATGTTCACTCGTTGACTTGCAGGGATTATTATTGATATGAAGTTTGATTACGAGCTGATTTCAGTTAGAGATGCATTGAAAGCAGGGAGTGTTGGACGTCTAATACACCCTATTTTGGAGGACTTCGGTGGAATGGGCAATTAGTTCGCATTGTAACCTGGAGATCCTAGGTTTGATCCTTGTTGACATCATGAGCAAGCAGTGCTGAAGGGTCAAGGACAAAGGGACGAAGACAAAACAGTTATCCAGTAACTTCTGGTTTTCCAGTGGTTCTCCTACTGAAGCCATTTCCTGATCAAACTTGAAGTCAATCAAATCCCAGCGAATCAATACTTGGCTTAAACTTTCGATTATCAATGACAGGGTCATGGGTTCGAACCTACTGAGGTTTGGATAACCAGATAATATCATTGCCCTCCCCCCAACACACACAGTAAGCGTGGTGGCTCATTGCCAACTGCATGGAAATACAGGTTGTTTTGAGTTACATTTTCGTTTTACTCCGATTTATGTCATTTTTTTATTCCTTCAAGTTCCCTGTGGAACACAGGGCTTCAAGCTAGAGCTTTGAAGTTTCGGTAACAATGGGTTTATTCTTACGGGATAGGGTTGCTAGCTTCATGCCCAGCCTTCCCTCTTGTTACTGGTCTAGTGAGTTAAAGGAGTGCGTCGGTGGCTGGGGATCGAACCCCGGACCATCTGCGTGGTTGGCAAGCATTCTACCGCTGTGCCACCGACAATTTATATTATCGTACTCAGTAATTAACAATATTAAGTTAAATTCTGAAACTTGCTGGTGTGTAAATGCCTAATCAGTGAATAATTCTTAAAAAAAACATCGATCACCACTAGAAACTATGAATGGAATCATTTAAGAGGATGTGAGTGCATGTAAGACTTGTAAATAAGGAAGAAGTCACTGTTATTCACTATTTACGTTAAAAGGCTTGACGGTAGTTAGTTGAGCTTTACCTACCCACCATACAATGAATGAAAATTAAATGAGAATATTCTTCCACCTAGCCGTTAAAACACATTACTGACCTATTGGTAAATTGAAATTACCCTCCCCTAGAATTGAATAAATGTACCGTTTAATATTAAGTGATCAGTTTGTTCACACTATCTGATCGCTTAAAGCATCATTCGTGTCTAGGACAGCATAGTGGCAAAGCCTCTGACTTTAGCACTGAGTTTGGCAATTCCAGAAAATACCTAATTTTGTTAGAACTGCAAGTATGCTTTGCTAACTGACATCCAAGCCAAAGGGAAGCAAACTTTCTGACTGACCAATGGATTTATAGAATAATTTTTGTCCAGGTTTTCCCTTCAATATGGAGTCAAGGGGATCAGCGTGTAATCTCATTGATGCCTTGTCATCACTTGTCTTTACCTACTCAACACTAAGCCAAGTTTTGACACATTGTATATTATTACCATTCATTCTTTGCTTTCTGAGTGGAATACACGGCTCCAGTAGAATATCTTCATTTTGCTCGGTTCTCTACTCGCGACGAGCTTTCGTTTCCGCTTTACACAGTCTCCTCCACTTCATCCTCGAACATTCAACTTGTCGCTTCTCATTCCGGTCCCACTTCTCAGTGTTTGTCTCTATTTCTTCCAGCATATTTGTCAGGAAATTGGCTGTTTTTTTGCTGTTGTTGTTTTCTTGTCGCAGTTCTCTGCTGCTTCTTTATCCTTTCAGCTGAGCCACTTAATCTTCAATATTCCATGAAGATAGGTGTTAACGAAAGTCTACAGTGGCCTTTTGAGAATGCTTTCTGCTGACACCGCTAGTTCTCTGAATCATATGAAGAGCTTGGCTAATGCTTCGGTATCGGTTTCAACATTTTTCTATGCATGATAAAATTTTTTAAACTCTAATATTATGTAGCCTGCTTCAATATCTATCTAATTAAATTGCTAATAAACACAGATTTCTGTCCCCATATAGCTTTCCACTAACCTGTTAATGAAAGAAAGCATGAGGATACTATACGCGTAATCATCATCATCATCACATCCTTTTGATCGGATATACCCACATCTATACACGCACACACACACACACACACACACACACTGAAACGTAATTTTAATAGGGCGATAATTTGTATTTCACCTCACTGTTTGTTTAACTATTCACGCCTATAATATCTCTGAGTTCTACTCGCCTTTTTTTTTGTTATTGTTTTATCACATTGAAAGGTGATTATTATAGGCAACCTGATAGCAGGTTATTATTATTATTACTACTACCACTATCGAGTTCTCATGAAAGGTGATAAACAGCTTTCGGAAATTATTATTATTGTTTTCCCACTGTAACATAGAAAGTGTGTGTTTGTATGTGTCTGTGTGATGGATATATTTTTTCTATGTAGCTATGCGTTTTGTTTTTCCGATACCCCCCCCCCCCTGTAAATTATTTCTCTGGTAAAATTCAGTAATTTGATATGAGCATATTTATGCATAGATAGTATGCAAGCTACAGTGTGATGAAAGGATTAAAAGAGAAGTGATAATTTTTATTAGCATTTGACTTTTGGTGTTTTGTAATTCTCATTAGTTGGTTTGTAAGGATTAGATTTGTTTTTTTACGAGTTGATCACGGATTGATATTGGTTAGAGAGAATCATTGAAAACCAGCACTGGAGTACTGGACAGCCGGCTGTTTCATCCTAGTTTGGGAATCATCGGCAGTACGCACCCACACTGCGGAGTTCGAACCCAGGAACTTCCGGTTAGAAGGCAAGCTGGCTCGTATACCATTCAGTGACTGGCTCATGAGTTCTAACTTCTACGTAGGTTTTTTGATTGAAGACTAGTAACTAGCGCGATGTGTCAAGTCCTTTCTTCGGTGCAGACTGAATTCTATCAGTCAGGTTTGCATTGTAGCCGCCATTCTAGATAGCTCGCCATCACGGTGCACATTGATTTGATGATATTAGATAGTTGGAGGCAATCGGCAGGAAGCCTTGACCTAGGTTTCGTGCTAGTTGG